TCATTTTCAGAAGTATCCTAATTTTGTGAATTTATGCAGTGTGTTGGAACAGCTCTCACAGTGTCTCAGCTCGTGGCCACCTCCTAAAAGTGGGAACCACCATGCTAAAGAGAGGGAAATGTGATTTTTTTTTAAAGTTAGAATGGTTTGTTTATCATGCACATACTGTGGAACATCAAAGGGTTTCCTACAGACAGGTTTGGACCACATCGTGGTGGCTATGCTCTAACGTGGTGGGTGTGTTTGGCCACTTTGACATCGTGTCAAGCAGGTGAGCCCTTGGGTAGGGGAATCTGGGGGAGTGCATGACGGTAGTTGTGGTGTGAGCTTTTTTGCAAGACAGGAGTTACGGAGGGGTTGTTTCCTTTATGTCTGGGTGGCTAATGGTCTGCTGTCGTGGTTGGGCATCACACACATGATGCTTTTGGGGCTAAGTGAAGATATAGCCTTTATAGGGATTGACTTGGGATAGTAATCAACCATTATAGTAACACTATAAACTTGTTCTGGGGAAAGACCAGGGGTGCTGGGTGCTGTGGTGTTGGGTTATGAAAAGCAGCAGCCAGAGTCTGACATACTTGAGGAGGAGGAGTCCAGGTGATGAATATTTGAGTCTGGTTCATCTTCTGTGGGGAAGAGAACTCCTGTTTCTGGACAGTCGTTCAATGGCTTAAGGTGTCTGTTCAACACAGACTTCTGTTATGCATTCTGGTCTATATCTTCTGATTTCAATGGATGCTAATGCACTTCAATTAAAATTTTAAAACAGCAGCATGGTGTCCCTTCTGGTGTGTATGTGCATGCATTCTGAGCCATCAGAATAATATTTTATATGTAACAGGGGGAAGGGACATGGGTGTCTGTCCTACGGTAAATTTAAATCACCAACCTTTTTTTCATAATTGCCAGTAGCCGTAAAATATGTAGAACTGTTTACTTCTCACTGTGTGAAATTTTATAAGTTCTCTCCAGGGAAGCTACCCATTTCCTAGTATTGTTTTTCAATGTTTCATATTCATTCATTCCATCCATCCATCCATCCATCCACACATCCGTCCATCCACATGTCCATCCATCCATCCACATCATATCCATCCACCCATCATCCATCCATCTATCCATCCACACATCCATCCATCCATCCATCCGTCCTCCATCCATCCATCCATCCACACATCCGTCCATCCACCCATCCATCCGTCCATCCACACATCCATCCATCCCTCCATCCACACATCCATCCATCCATCCATCCATCCACACATCCGTCCATCCATCCATCCATCCATCATCCATCCATCCATCCACACATCCATCCATCCATCATCCACCCATCCATCCATCCATCATCCACCCATCCATACATCCATCCATCATCCACCCATCCATCCACACATCCATACATCCATCATCCACCCATCCATACATCCATCCATCCATCATCCATCCATCCATCCATCCACACAGCCATCCATCCTTTCATCTGTCCATCCATCCATCCCATGGTTATTGGGTTCTCTGTAGGGCAGGCCCTGTGACATGTCCTTATGCAATGAGAGTCAAAACATTCTGAGAGTTTCTAAGTAACATCTGCCTAAGAGCTATAATAAGATGTTTTCCCTAAACAGAGGCCAATGCCAGAAACTGTGCTATGTAAGGTCAGGACTACACAGTTGTATAAGTTGACACCCTAAGAGATGTGATTTGAGGTGTACTATCACTAATATTTTGGTATATAATAGGTGGCGTGTGTGTGTGTGTGTGTGTGTATGTGTGTTTACATTTTATTGCTCTGGAAATATTTACCAATTATTTGGGGGCAGGAGGAAAGAAGCACCTGTAGAGGTATTGACTGTTCTGGGTGGGTGATGTGTGTAGATGCAGAGGAACGCAGTATAGTAGTATCACTTGATCCTATCTTGCTGAGGCCATTGTGCGGTATTTGAATGCACTTGAATAGCTTGGTGCTGATGAGCTTTGGTGTGGGATTGCAAACAAGTTGAAGCAGAACCCGCCTCCTTCCTGGCAGCCACTCCTGAATAAAGAAACGCAGAACAATTATCCTTGTATGTGCTTATTAGTCATTTATATCTGCCTTAGTAAAATGACTGTACGTTTTTGCCCACTTCTTAGATGGTTTCTCTCATTATTATGGAGTGGTATTCATTTGGAAAATCTTTTCTCCTGCTCTGTGGCTTCTCTTTTTCTTTTCTTGAAGGTGCTCTTTGAAGCACACAAGTTTTGCATTTTGGTAAACTCTTACTTATCGAGTTTCATAAAGTAGATCAGGCTTTGATTGTCTTATCTTTAAAAATGTCTTCCTAACCCAAGAGGACAAAGATTTTGCCCTGAGTTTTTCTTTTTTTACATTTTACCCTTTCCTTCCTTGCTTCCTTTCTTTTCTCTTTCTTTCTTTCTTTCTTTCTTTCTTTCTTTCTTTCTTTCTTTCTCTTTTCTTTTTTTTTTTTTTAACATTTACATCTCGGGTGGATTTGACATTCCATTTAAGTCGGTGGATTTGGCATTCATTCTTCGGCATGGTGTGAGAGGTTAAGGGTCTCACTGTGTGCTTTTCATGTGAACAGCCCACTGTGCCCGTGAATGCCCCATCCAATGTTTAACTGCTGATCTATCGGGCCAGCCAAAGCTGACCATTTTCTGCAAAATTTCCCTAGTTTGGATATTCAAGCAGACCCGTAGGCCCCTCAAAGCCTGCTCACACTCATGCAGAGCATGCACTAAAGACATAGGAGAGGAGGGCAGCCAGACATGGGAGCTGGCAGGCAGCCCCGGGGGTTCAGCAGTTGCCCCGAACTCCCATTCGGTGTATCTGAAGACCCAGCACCAAAGTCTGTGGGAGGAAACTCCGTTTCCAGCTGGCTGGGAGCGGACAGTGGAGGGGAGAGGTCTGTCTTGCCTCCGGACACTTAGTTAAGCTATGGTGGGTGTAACCGGTTAGACCAGTTGCCAAGGTTTCAGGGCAAGTAAAAACAAAGAACCCTGGAGATTAAGTAAGGCTTGTTCAGTCTGGTTGTAAATCAGCGGGGCCATGCCCCAACCCCTGGAATGCGACCCGTTTATCACCATCCTGGGGCTGCTGTACACAGTGTTATCTGCAGGCAGCACCCCCGCTGGCCCAGCGTCTTCCGTCCCCCATGCCCCACTCTCTCCCCCCTCCCTGCTGCAGGTCTGATTTTCTGAGTCAGTTATGCATTGAAATAGACACATGTAGAGTCACATATTTGCAGTGTCTTGTGGGGGGGGGGGGGCGGGGAGTTTCACTCAAAAACACTCTGACTCCGGAGAAGCAGACAAGAAAGCCTTAAAAGATGAAAGAACAAAGAGGAAGAAAGTTAAAAAAAAAAAAAAAAAAAAAAAAAAAGGAGGTTTCTTGCAAAATTTCCAGACGCTTATAAGCCAGCTGGAACCTTTAAGTTTGCTAAATAAGCAATTTAGTTTGGCAATGGTGTATCATTTAATTTGGAAATGATGTATCATTTAATTTGGCAATGATGTATCCTTTAATTTGGTAATGATATATCATTTAATTTGGCAATGATGGATCATTTAATTTGGAAATGATGTATCAAAGACCTTAGACAAGTCGTTATAAAGGCCGTCTAACCTTGAGGCTGATGGGACCAACCCTGCCCCCTCAGGTATATGCCCACGAGTCCATTTCTCAATTCCCAGGTGTTTCTATGGATGGAAGCAGGAGTCCTGGGGTAAGGACATCTGCAGAATCCCCTTAACAGGGGCTGACTCAGCTGTGAAGAAGGCTCTTCTTCCCGCATCCTGGAATGCCTATCTGATAGTTGGAGCTGCTACAGCCATCCTGAGGCCATGAGGCAAAGGATGGTAGAGCTTGGAGTTGCAAGGAGGCTGCCAGCCTGGGGTTGTGTCCCTCCAAGAAAGAACACACCCTTCCCCTGTTTATGGGATTAATTTCCAATGTCTGCTACCGCAAGCCCAAAGTAATTTCCACGTAATAAGACGAGGACACAGGAACAGTGAATGTCATGTGTGGAGTTGAATAGCCACTTGAGATCAGTGAATCCTCAACCAGCACAGAATGGTTTTATCCCCATATGTCTGTCTGCCCTTTTGTAAGGCTGTTCACAGACCCAGTGAAACCCCAACTAGGCTTCGAGATGAATGGGTACAAAAACTGGACACTGGCACTGTGATAACCCCGAGCTCTGGAAGAGGATCAGGACCGGGGGCATTACTGGGTGTCCACTGTGATGGTCTTATGTCGCGGATGAGAAAGTTGAGATGCACTCCCCACCCAGGACATGCTCCTGGAGAAAGGGAAACCCAAGCTTAGCTTCTCCGTGTGCTCGCTCTCCTGGGTACCCCGTCATAGTCCAGGCATTTGGGGGAGCTGTGCCTCTCCCCTTTAAAGATCCATTTCCCAGCTTTATGGGGGTGTAATGGACAAATGCAATTGTATTTATGGTTTACAGCGTGATGATATAGGTACACATCGTGACACGACCACCCCAGTGAAGTGAACTAACACACCCATCACCTTTGGTAGCGACCGGTTTTGGTGTGCACGGTGAAAACACCTAACATCTACTCTCTCAGCAGATGCGAAGGGTATGAGACAGTATTAGGAACTAGAATCCTAGAATCACCATGCTGAGATGTGTCCACAACACAGTCCTCTCCTAACCGGAAACTCATGCCCTCTGGGCACCCTCTCCACAGCTCCCCCAACGCCCCGGCACCGACTCTTCCAAACTCTGCTTATACCAGTTTCAATTTTTTTTATTGTTAAGATTCCACGAATCGGTGAGATCGTGCGGTATTTTTCGATCTATGTCTGGCTGATTGCACTTGGCATAACGTCCTCCAGGTCCATCCGCGTCGTCACAAAGGGCAGGATCTCCTTGCTCCTCGTGGCCAAGTCGTGTTGCATTGCGTGGATGGGCTACCCGTTCTTTCTCCCTCCATCCATCGATGGGCGCCTGGGCTGTTTCCATGTCTTGGCCACTGAGACGAATGCTGCCATGAACATGGGGTAGAGGTATCTTTGAGATCCTGTGTTCATTTGCTGTGGGGAAACACCCAGGAGTGGAATCCCTAGGTCCTAGGGTAGGTCTGTTTTTCATGTTTTGAGGAGCCTGCCTACGGTTTTCCAGAGTGCTACGACAGTGCAAGAGGGTTCCCCTTTCTCCGCATCCTTGTCAACGTGTTACACCCCACCTGCCTGACGACGGGCATCCTGCCCAGTGTGAGGTCACATCTCACTGGGGATCTCCGTCCTGCCCGCACGCACACAGGGGGAAGGTTCCACAGCACGGCTGCAGCCACGGCTTCCAGATGATGTTGCTCAGGGAAAACTGGGGAGGCACAGGACTCAGGGTTCTCCTGTGCTGGTCCACTGCCTCGCCCACCCGTGAGACCACCGCGTGGTACCGGGGTTCGGAGCTGGGGGCCAGGGGCTGTGCCTCGGAAGGGTCCCTGGAGAGGTCAAAGAGCAGAGGTGGGCTGTGCTGAGTCACGCCGTCCCCAGAGCAGGGGCACACACCTTGGCCGTAGCAGGCCCCCGTCCCCTTGGGGTGGAACCGTGGCGTCATGTAGTGGACCTTCCAGAGTCTTCCACCTAAAGACAAACAGAGTGGTGAACACCTGACCTAAGTCCCAGCCCTGGGGAAATCATCAACATCCCATCCAAATAGAGAGGAGAGGAGAAAACCAGATGGTTCTTGCCAAGCGTGTCTATATGGTGTGCTCTAGGCACACAGAGGCAAACGGACTCGTCCCAAAGTGCTCAGTGAGGCTGCCTGCAGGGATGACGCCCACGTGTGCCATGCTTTCTTCATTCTTACCCTTCCCGCTATTTTGCAATTGTTCCGCATCCCCATACTAGTTTGGGTAATGGAAGCAAATAGGACACATCAACACGGTGATTGGCAAAGAACTTGCTGTGTTCTCAGGGAGTGCATTTGGGTACAGGGCAGATAATAAAGCCAGTCAGAGGAGGGCATGGGGTGCAGCCCTCAGATTCCCTGCACCAGCCTTCATTCTGCATGAGATATGGATTCTTCTCAGCCTCTCAGAAAGAGATTTGCTCTGTGATGCTGCATTTTATTCATAATCACGGCCAGACTGTGGTGCCAGATGCGCAGTCGAAGACTCCTCTGCATGTCGCCATGGCAGGTTTTGTCTTCCCCCCATTGAGATGAACATTTACATTAGTAGACTGCCCTCCATACCATGGGTGGGCCTTACCCAATCAGTTGAAGATGTAAGAAAGAGCAGAATGAGGTCCCCTAAAGAGGAAGGAATTCTGCTTGCAGAGCACAACCCATGTGTTCTGCCTGAGTTTCTAGCCTTCAGACTCCAGATGGCAGCATCCACTCCTGCAGGACTGTGGGCTGGCCCTGAAGATTTCAGACGTGACCGTCCCCACAGCCGCACATGACACAATTCTTGAAAATCGCTCTCTCTGTTTCTGTCCACCCGTTCGTCTACATCTGTCTTTATCTTCTGTCTCCATCTATCATCCATTATCTACCTATATACCTTTCTGTCAACCCTCTCATTATCTCTTAGTCTATTCTATCATCCATCCCTCCATCAATCCTTGATCTATCATCTGTTTATCTATCCATCCATCCATCTGTCCATGTGTCTATCCATCCATCCATCCATCCATCCATCAATGCATCCATCCATCCATCCATCCGTCCACCCACCCATCCACCCTTTTCTCTCCTTCCTTCCCTCCCTCTTACCCTCCCTCCATCCTTCCCTCCCTCCATTTATCCATCTACCCACCCGCTTTCCCTTCATTCCTTCCATCCATCCATCCGTTTGTCCATCTGTCCGTCTACCCATCCATTGTCCATTCATCTGTCGTCCATCCATCCATCCACCCTCTTTTCCTTCCTTCTTTCGTTCCTCCCATCCTTCCATCCATCCGTCTATCCATCCATCTGTCCATCCATCCTCTTTTCCTTCCTTCCTCCCAACCATCCATCCATCCGTCCATCCATCCATCAATGCATCCATCCATATCTCCATTCATCTGTCATCCACCCACCCATCCACCTTTTTCTCTCCTTCCCTCCCTCCCTCTTACCCTCTCTCCATCCTTCCCTCCATCCATTTATCCAATAATCCATCCATCCACCCTCTTTCCCTTTCTTCCTTCCATCCACCCATCCCTCTGTCCATCTGTCTACCCATCCATTGTCCGTTCTTCTGTCCATCCATCCATCCACCCTCTTGTCCTTTCTTCTTTCCTTCCTCCCATCCATCCATCCATCCATCCATCTGCCCATCCGTCTATCCATCCATCCATCCATCCATCCATCCATGCATCCACCCATATCTCCATTCATCCATCCATCCATCCACCCTCTTCTCTCCTTCTGTCCCTCCCTCCCTCCTCCTCTCCCTCCACCCACTTATCCATCCATCCACCCTCCCTCCCTCCCTTCCTTCCTTCTATCCATCCATCTATCTATCCAGCCATCCCACTCGTGGTTCTGTTTCTTGGGGGGGACCCATCCCCCTGCACCAGGAAAAGACATGTACTCACTGTCCTTCTCATGCCAGCGTGCTGCGTGGAGGTACTTCCCACAGTAATGAAAGAGGAACTCGTGTGCTGAGTGCTCAGCAGTCCCCTGAAGCAAGGGCACCAGGCTACGGCCATCGATCACCCTGATTCAGTGAAGAGACAGAAGGACGAGTCAGACCAAGGCCGCTCAGCCTGCCTGGCACCGGAAAGTGAAACTCCAAGCTCATAAGGGCCTTGCTAAGGGCAAGAGGAACAGAGACGAGCTGTCTCTCCAACTCTGTCCAGATTGCAAGTTGCTAAGCAAGAGACATTTTGCTGTTTCTAAAGAAAAAGTCCCTAAGTTGGGGGGTCATTTGTTACACAGAATGACATACACAGTGCACACACAGACATACACACACCATTCCAGCCTTGCCTGTCATGGCCATAGGACCATATTTTAAAAAGTCCTCGATCTGAACTTAATGTACAAAAGTTATACTTTTCCTTACACTTGTAAAACACTTCTATTTTAATTATACCCTAATTATAATGGTTCCATATCCTGTGTCTACTTGGCTGGGTCACGGTGCTCAGGGATGTGGTGAAACGCCAGGTTGAGGATTGCTGTGAAGGCATTTTTTAGACACGGTTAATATCCACGGTCAGTGGACTCTGAGCAAAGCCGCGCACCCTTCACAAGGAAGGTGGGCCTTACATAATCAGTTGACGGCTGCCAGGAGAAAAGACTGAGGTTTCCCAGAGAAGACAGAATCCTGCCTCAAGAGCGTAACAGGGAAATTCTGCCTGAGTTTGCAGCCTGCTGGCCTGCCATAAGGATTTCAATTTCTTAGCCTCCACAACTGCAGGAGCCAATGCCTTAAATGCCTTATTTTATAAACACACAGACACCCGCACAAACACTGTTGGTTCTGTCTCTCTCATACAGGACTATTTATTTGTCCCCTTAAATAGAGGAATATTAGACTATTATCAAAATACTTACCACTTTGTTTTATCTGGGATTAGGAATAGTCTTTGGTCCTGCACTAATATCGAAGTGATAAGTCATTTTTTAAAATGTGGTGTGATAGCCTCATCAATGCATGGGCAAGAGTGCACCTCAGGAAATCAGGGAAATGTGTTTCAACGGATCGACATCTAATGCTTTCATCCCGCCATTGTTGTGCTGAGTTATAAAATCTTACCAAAACGGCAAGATGAGTAGATGGATCGAATACTTCCTTTAATCATCTTTGACTGAGTATGATTATTTTGCAGTAGGCTGTCCCCTCCCTTTGAGGATGTGAGAACTTTCTAAATGTTCCCACATCGTCGGAGGATTTCTCCCCTACGTGTGAAATAGTAAAAGGACAAGTTTCAGCAACTGGGGAGGGAGGGGGAGTCTCATGACACGTGTACCTGTCCTGGGGCACATGGCCGCCCCCCAGCTGGACCACGGTGGGGAAAACATCCATCAGGCTGGTTGGCTCATGGATCACTCGGCCGGCTAGCAGCTCCCCAGGCCAGCGGAAGATCCCCGGCACGCGGATGCCGCCTTCCCAGCCCCCCATCCCTTTGCCACCTGTAAGGAAGTGTCGTTAGAATTCTCCAGGAGATGGTCCCATCCCCATGCACACCTGGGCACACCTGTCTGTCTCTGTATGTGCCTGGTTACCCCATACATAAACACACACAGTGGCAGCCTGCATTTCCCGATTACGTTTGCAGCAATAATTCCAGAACCTCATCACTGCCCTATGGGCAGGTGGAGTCTACATGCTCTTCTTTTAAGATGTGACAGGTCTTTGCGACCACGGGAACACACAGTGTGTGCAATGCGTGGCTTCAAAATTATAATGGGGGCTTAAATTTCACACCACGCATGGCTGGTGGCTCCTGTCTTCCTCTATCCTTTTTCCTTCTGGAAGGACCAGGAATTGGGTCTGGCAGCCCCTTCTTCTCCTCCTCTCCCACCTGCTCACCGTACCATCCACCTGTTCCTTTACCCCCTTTCCTGGTTCATCTTCATTTCTGGAACCCCTAGCAATGGCCTGGGGCCCAGATCGGGTCTTCAGGAAATGCAAAGAACAATAAAACAACCCTATGTTACAGAAGGTGAGTTGCAAACTGGGAGGGATGTGTTCGGAATCTCGCTAAATAAATGGGTTCTTTGTTGCAGTTCAAAAACTGTCATGCACCTGCCTTCCCTTTGTACTGCTGGGTAACAAGTTATGGCAAAGGAGCAGCCTCATGCCCGTGTGCTAGGTCTCCGTTCTGTATGCTGGGAGTCGGGCATGGCTGGGTGGCTTGGCGGGTACTCCGTTCTGGGTCCCACATTCGGAAATCAAGGGGTAAGCTGTTTGTAGAACATACCACCGGGAACGATGAGAAGCTACTGTACAGCTCGGGGACATGTATGGAGGGCTGCAATGGGAAAATCCCCTCACAAGTCATAGGAACATACATCATGAACTCTCATTGTTCTCTGGAGCGATGTTCTACAAAGTCGCCACACATACTGAACCACGACTCTCAGGTGTGTGTAACACACGGCCCAGTTCCAGGAAGACTCTGGTCCCGGTATTTCCATTAGCCAATCAGTATACTTCTGTGTGATTTGCTTTAAAGACTCCTTATTGGGTAGAAATCGTGATTCATTCGCACGGGATTCGCAGCCAATAGCTCTAGAACTCGTGTCTGGATGAAGCCCATCTAACATACTTTCTCCATAAGACGCGTTGCAAGCATCTTGCTCTTGGGAACGGGGGACAGCCCTTCAGCACTACAGCCGTGGGCCCTTTCAGGGAGCAAAGTCACCAACAAAAAGCAAACAAAACCGCAGAAATGTGGCCACGAAAGAGACCATGAAAAGGACCCATGTCTATGTCGGAGAGATGAAATGTAGGCACAGGGTTACCGCACCCAACCGTGGTTGAGAACGTGCACGACTGATATTCTTATTGCTGTTCAAAGGAGTGCAAAGGCATCGCAAGTATAGATTTTGGGGTTACAGATAAATTTTAGCAAGTAGATGATGTCATAAATACGGAATCCATGAATCATGGAGAAAATGACTATCAGACTTTTAAAAAATACGGCAATATAAAGGTACCATGCCCTCAATCTCACAAGATAGAGTGGAATACAGAGACACACGTAACTAAGGTTATAGTTACAGTGCGATGTTTGATTTAGGATGGCATTTCTTTTAATTTTATCTTGATTATTTATTGGTAGATCTTCCTCTCCTACTGAAATATAAGCCCTTTAAGGGAAGGGCATGTGTCTTTTTTTCTCTCTCTTGGCACGCGGATAGGATTTGGTGTAGAGCAGCTGTTCAAGAAATCCCCCTTTGAAAGTGCACACTCTTTCCCCCTTCTGCTTGCTCTCCAGGCTGTAACACTGAGAATCATTTGGTGGGTGCCGCATCTGCCTCTTAACCCCCAATATCCAATGGTCTCACCTCGGAATATCCCATTCCATCCCCCCAGCTGGCCGTGTCCGTCTCTTGCCTCCAAATGTCCTCCGTGATCAGAGGTGAAATACGTGAATGTCGTGTTTTTCAAACCGTGGACTTCGAGTGCTTTAAGGATCTCACCTATAAGAGAAAGAGAACAATTCACGGCAGAGCCAATGAATCACCACCAGCAAATTCAACCCAAATTTGCCCTTTCTTGCTAGAAAGTCCCATAAGGGGACTGTGTAGTCACCGTGATTACGAATGTGGTCACACAGTGTGAACCCTTTCTGGTTTTCCTGATTCCACAGGACTCAGAATCTTGTTTACAAAGGTATCACTAATACAGAAAACAAAATAAATGGCTAAAGCCAATATTGCAGCAATGGAGTGTCTAGAAGGGGCTTTGTTGGCATATGTGTCCATAATGACTGCATGGGGTTGGAGTGTGGTAAGAAAGAGTCTGATGGGAGAATCCCGTAGAGAGGAGGAAGCCAGAGCTGTGAGCATCGATCTGCGTGTGTCGGCACATGGGGGCCAAGGTTCAAGAGAGCTACCAGCTACCAGCCAAGCACTCGCTTTATCCATGGAGACCAAGTGCACATCTACAGCCCTGAAGGAAAGATTTTACACCACATGGGGACTGTGCAGCACTGGAAATGCACGTTTCTAGAGCACGATGTAATCCACTCTCCCGTTTTGGGGTTGTCTGCCTCTTTACTTGGCGTACCGTAGCACTACGGTTCTCCCAGGATAAGCCCTCGCACCCTGCAAGGATTTAGATGTCTGCATTCTCTTAAGAATCTATATACACTTGAAGGGAAGGTAACACTGTATCAACAACAGGTCAAAGTAAAAACAAACAGAATGTACAATCTCATCCGCTCTCTCTGGGCTTTCTCAAGGCCACGGGAAGAATGCAATGTTGGTCTGTTGCCCTGAATGATAGAGCATTCTTGCTTCACATTCTGTAATGTCTCATGATGGCTTTATTATTTTTTTTTTAAAGATTTCATGTATTTATTTGAGAAAGAGAGAACATGAAGATGGTAGAGAAGTAGACGGGGAGGGAGAAGCAGACTCCCCGCTGAGCAGGGAGCCCCGACGTGGCGCTTGATCTCAGGACCTGGGGACCATGATCTGAACCGAAGGTAGACACTTAAGTGACTGAGGCCCCCAGGTGCTCCTCATGATGGCTTTAAATAATGCACTTTGTAAGAGGATGATTTGTGCAGAAGTAGGCTGAAGGAGCACGTGAATGATATGGGGAACTTTCTCCCAATTCTTTGCCTTTCCTCTTCTTCTTTATTGCAGCTTGGTTCATGCTGAGGTGGCCCATCTGTTACCAAAGTTGAGCAGCGAGGCCAAGACCAAATGAAGCATGGCTGTGCCTTGACTTACCTACAAGCCAGTCCATCTCCTCCACATTGTCACCATATAAGCCATGCTGGCTTTTCCCGAGAAACCGTTTTGTGGTCACCAGGGGAATGTGAACATGCAGCAAAGACACAAACAGGAGGAATGGCCTCTGTTTATTCCTGGAAGAAGAAAAACGTGCTTCAGCCACGATGGCACCCGTCTCAACACTATGTGAGCCACCTCGGTCCCTGAAACCCATCACCCCATCGGGACTCAGGCGCCATGAGAACTCATCTCCTCTTTAAAAATGAGATTACCTTTCAATATAGGAAACAGCCTCGCGCAGCATGTGACCCGCCGTTCTTTCCAAAACCATGGGCTGCTCTATGACGTCATGGTTTCTCATCAGGATGCAGTTCCAACGACGCACAGACCCAAAGCTGGCATACCAGGAGACGAAGCAGAGGAAGACGAGGCTGGCTGCCCCCAGGACTACCTTCCAGGACACGGAGATGAACCCACAAGTCTTGCCAACCACAACGGTCAGGACCCCTAGAGCCGCCATCTGGGTGTAGTGCCACAGTCTGGATCTAGTCGTGGCGTCCACTTCTGGGGGCCTGCCTGGCTGACAGTCATTCACAAGCGTGAAAGGCATGCCGTAAAAATAGTCAAATCCGTGGTTCAGTGGATGGTGGCAGTGGTCGTTGCGGGATTCACAGTTGACACCCTGGTGCCATTTTCCTGAAGATAAGAGCAAGAAGTTAAACAAGAACACACATGGGGGTACTCTGTTTGACCCCAGTCATCTTCTCAGTAATTCAGATTATATAGTTACCCTGCCCTTTGCAAATACTGAACAAATGTATGGAGGTCATGAGATTAAAGGTTCAAGATTTTCTGGGCTGTTAGGAATTAAAATTTGCAACCCTAGACTACTGTGCTATTAAATAACTCAGAAAATATCATTTATGGATATTTCTTACTTAAAAGACAGCCCCTCGATAAAAGGAGTTGGTTCTAGAATAATCTTATGACAGAGCAGAAGTAACCAAGTAAGCAAGAAATGCTTCTATGAGATTTTTTTCCCAAAGGCTGTAATTTTATAGTACCATTGAGATGGAACATGAGAAAGCCCATATATCAGATTCTAGAAGGATATACAAGAATTGGGTTCTCTCCAGATGCTCAGCCAGCTTAAATTTAGCTACAAAATAGGACAGAAAAGGGTTCAATGTACTTGTCGCCATAATTTCCAAGTACAGAGGTTAAACGTGGTCCCTGCCCTGTTCTTCCCTCCCATGGTTCACAAAGGGTCTTCAGAACCTGTAGTATTGGTTCTAGTTCCAAGCCTGGAGACATCCCTTTCTATCCCTGCTTACATTTAAGGAAGTGAGAATGTCGGGATGGGGTGGAACAGGTGGAGAAGGATACAGGATGGTCTCCATCTTGTCCACTGTCTACCACTTGGAACGTGAAGAACACCCTTGTCTCAGTTTAGAAGGGGTGTGTGCACCAGAAGAATAAAGATTCACAGAAGGAACTGATACACAGGTCTGCAAGTCCAGTAAACACAAAATGAATCCACTTACCTAGTTTTAAACACAATTCCACCCACAGAGTATGAGATACATGGTGGTCGTGGGCTCAAGGACATTGGGTCATTGACCCAATGGTGGTGAGTTGGTAATGGAAAGTTCCAGTCAATTTGGGTGGGTAAGAAGCTTTGCTCTACTTCTCAGGATTGAGATGATAAATCCAGGTGATAGAGCAGATGTGTACAAAGTCCTTGAAAATGCCCTTGAAAATGGTATATGCGATATGCTGAGTATCTGTGTCTCCCTAAAATTCCTGTTGAGGGTGACCATGAGGGTGATGGTATTTGGAGGTAGAACCTTGGACAGGAGATCAGGTCCTCAGGATGGAGCCCCCATGAATGGGATTAGTGCCCCCAAAGAGACCTTCACCCCTTCTTCTCACATGTGAGGACACAGAGAGAAGACGGTCGTCTCTGAAGCAGGGCGAGGGTCCTCACCAGACCTGGAGTCTGGATCTTGGACATCTCAGTCTCCAGAACTCTGGGAAGTAAGTCTTCATAATCTCTATTTCTAAAGTAGCAGGAAAATTTAAAGGGGGGGAGGAGTAACTACCCAGTGTCTGACCCAATCACCACCCTGACAAAGTGGGGGTGTCAGTCCCCTCTGAACTCAACAGTGACTCTGAGTGTAGAAGAACTGGTGAGGAATTGAATGGGACCCCCTGCACACAGACCTGATCAAATCTTTCCTTGACCAAGGAGTTGGGGAAGACTCCCTCATCATCTAGCCTCAGACATTCCTGTTAAGAGGACACACTACTTCTAAACACACAGGCTGAGCAAGGAATGAAAGTGTTCCCAACATCTGGTCCATGACAGGTAGGTGCCCATCTGTAAGGAAGCCACCTACCAGGTGTTGGAGTGCCGTTCTCAGACAGGGGGTCTTACGAGGTTGGCCCTGCCTAACGATGTGCGATCAATCGGCTCTCCAGAGGATTTCCATCATTCCCTAAATAATAAGTGTGGCTCTGCGTCTAAAATGTTTGCACGACGTGGTTTTGCTGAATGCCCGTTTTCCTTCTGGAGGCTGGGGTTTTGGGGCGGGTGCCAGGCAGCGGGTGTCTAGGAGACCAGCCCCTAATACAAAGCCTGGGAATGGAAGGAAAGAGGCAAATCCCCCGAGGTTGAATTCAAACGGCTTGTCAATGACAGAAGTTCCAATGGTGTGACTGATCCAAGAGAGATCATATAGGGCCAGCACCCAGTTTTGGTTCTGACATGTAACTTTTTCCCCTGGTAGGGAAACAGGCTGGTCCTCCTGCTCCCTGAATGGTATGAGTACCTATAAGGCCGGTTGCATAACCTTGCTGCTGTAGGATTCTTGCAAATGTGGTTTCGTTTGCGGGGAGTCCGCCCGATCCCGCGTTCCACTGGAGGGCACGGTACCCATCATCGGCTTCCATGCCTGCGGAGTAGAGCAGACAGCAAGCACTCACTCTCCCTTGACTACGGCAAGGGTTCTTGCCTGGGGAGGAAGCTGACCCTTTACCCTGTCTGGCACTGGTCTGGGTTTCACAATTGCAGGAGGGGTACTACTGGCATCAGCTGGGGGAAACACCCTACAGTGCCCAGGTTGCCCCCACCATAGAGAATCATCCAGCCCAAATGTCAGCAGTGCTGAGGTTGAGAAACCCTGCGTTGGCATGAGAGTCTGTCTGTTTCTCTCTATCATCTCTCTGTCCATCCATCCATGTCTTCACACATCTATTCATGTAACATCTATCTAATCATCTATCAATCATCAACTGCTTACCTACTTACCTATTCATCCATCCCTATCTCTCTCTCTCTCTATCATCTATCTAACTCTATCCATCCATCCATATATCCACCCACCCATCCACTCACCCGCCCATCTATGCACCTACCCATCCACCTATCTACTAATCTATCATCTATCAATCTATTATCTATCATCTAACTCTATTCGAACATCTATCAATCTACTAATCTATCATCTATCAATCTATTACCTATCTATCATCTAACTCTATCCACCCATCCACATATCCATCCACCCATCCACTCACGCGCCCATCTAGTCATCTATGCACCTATCCATCCATCAATCTATTAATCTGTTATCTATCAATCCATTATCTATTATCTAACTCTATCCATCCATCCACATATCCATCCACCCATCCACTCACCCGCCCATCTAGTCATCTATGCACCTATCCATCTATCAATCTATTATGTACCTATTATCTATCATCTATCTATCTATCTATCTATCATCTATCTATCATCTATCTATCTATCTCTATCTTCTATCTCTGTATCTTCGGTCCATTATCTATCTACGGCAGTGGTTCCCAACCAAAGGTAATTCTGCCCCCCAGGGAACACTTGGCAAACGCCCGGTGACATTTTTGGTTGTCCCAACTCGGTGGGGAGAGTGGCTGCTACTAGCATCTTGCACATAGAGACCTGACCCCCAGCACCTCAGAATGTGACTGTGTTTGAAGATAAGGTCTTTAAAAGAGATCGGGTCTTCTAAAGAGGTAAAAAAAGAAGTCGTTGGAGTAGGCTCTGATCCCATAGGACTGGGGTCTTTATAAGAAGAGCTATAGACAGATGACCACATGAGGACAGGGAGAGAAGGCAGAGTCTTCATCCCAAGGAAAGAGGCCTCAGGGAGAACCAGCACTACCCTGGCTCTCAGACTCCCTGCCTCCAAGATGGTCAAAAAAGTAATCTGTGTTGTTTAGGCTGGTCCATCTGTGGTATTCCGTACAGCAGCTCAGACAAACTAATACGTCAATATTCCAATATGTGAATGTACCGTCTTATTAACCCACTCTTCCACTGATGAACTGTGTCCGCGTTTGCAACGTACAGATGTACAGAAAACGTAGAGTGCTGCTGTGAAGTTCTCATTCCATCTTTTGTAGAACTTGCATGTGTGCACATGTTAGGCGCCTACTTAGGAATTGCTGGGTCATGGGTATGCCTGCTTTCAGCTTAAGCAGACAGACAACCTCAAGCATCTCACCAATCTTGTCCCTTTCTGACTCTGACCCTCCTGCTTTCCCCTTAGAAGGACCTCGGTGATGACACTGGACCACCTGCATAATCTAGGATAACGTTCCCATCTGAAGATCCTTCACCTAATCCCAGCTTCAAAGTCCCCTTTGCCATATAAGGAATTAGGATGTGGGATCTTTGGGAAGCATCCTTTAGCTCCCTACACGCTCACCCAAAGCCTATCTGAAGTCATGACTACACACCCAGATGGACTAAAATATGTAAACAAATAAACACAATGTCAACCATAACCAGCTACCCTTGCAGAGTGCCCGTCTCTGAATTCCCAATCAACCCAATCATCGCATGACTACCTAAAACACAGCAGTCTTCATGTCAGTTCAAGGGGATGCCACTGCAGATTATATGTGCACCGTCCTCCCCTGGATCTCGACCATCGCTGATCACATTGAGGACAAGTTACGAGTAGACGCAGGCTTGCCCCCTTCTCGGTCATCCCCGCAACACTGACCTGATCTGAAGGCGTGCCTCCCCGTGAGGAAGGAAGATCTGCTGGGAGTACAGAGGGGGGCGGCCGCCAGGTGCTGGGTGAGCCTCACGCCTTCCTCTGCAAGCTGGTCGATATTGGGTGTCCTGAGCAAACCACACACAAACATCCCTGTCAAGACAGCCCTTACAGGGATCGCTGCACCAAAGGGCATGGCATGGAGTACATCACTGTTTCTTGAGGGTTTTATGATTAGTTGCATATGGTGTCTTGCAAAGGCAGATGGACCCATCCCCAAAACAACCAGCATGAGCACATGGACTGAGGACCACTTGCTGCAAAAGGGGCTGAGCCCTAGTCCCGGGGTCCAGGGCTGCAGCCCAGCCCACTGCAAGCATAGCCACCATCTGAACCTACTGTATCACCCGGAGGTATTGTGGGCCGGGAACAAGATTCTCTGGACGCTGTTGCGGTGTGTAGGGATAAGAGTTGCACACCGTCTCGGTCTTACTGTCTACTTCTGTCCACCAGGAAGCTATAGCCATACCAATCTAGTGGCTTGCAAAGGTCGATCCCTTACAACTTGCTATCCTTTGCTCCTCTGTGAGCACGCTCTAGTTCACAAATGGGAAATGGTCTTCCCAATCCAATGGGGAAGGAACGCCATGCCTTTCCTGCTTGTACCACCAAGTTTCCATGTGGATAGGTTAAATGGCAGAGGGCAAGTGGATTAAAGAGACATGGGAAGACACAAAGACTGAAGCCACTGGCCAGATTAAAATCTGTGAGAGCCGATACCTAAAACTTCCTTACTGGGCAGGTGTTCCAATGGCCCAAGGTCAAAGGCATCTTTGGAGAGGACTTGAGGCATGGCTGGAAACCTTCCTTGTTGAGTATGAGTGTTGGTGGAGGGTGCTGAGGGAGTTGACAATGGTCCACAACCACTATCTATGGGGGAGAGGAGCCTCAGTGTCCCTGTTCTCCCAGTGCCCTGGGAGAAGGATGCAGATGTGACCATGGCTTTGTTGAAGGTCTGTGCAGGCCCAGGCTGAGTCATAGTTCTAGTAGATGCTGTCTTCTTGGACACATGGCTCTTCCAAAGCCTTGTGACCCAAAGGGTCCCAGACCCTAAGTTTTGTGGAGAGGGGACAGAAATACGATGACTCCTGATGGAGCTGTCGGTGAACTGAAGGGCTTCTGGGAGCCGATGGGCATCCCAAAGTCCTAGTGTGGGTTTTTGGATTCAAGAACTTCAGAAGCATCAAAACCATCGCCAAGACCATCCTCCAAATATTGTGATAAATGCCTTTCTTACTGACTCAGATGGGTGTTGCCAGTTTTGAAGAACACATTTTTAGTTTTAACTGTTGCTTTTGTTTGGGGTGAACATAGTACACGTTGTCTTAAAAAAATGAAAAATTACAAGTATGTTCTTCAAAGTCCTTGAAGCTGGTGATGCACAGAGGTCAGGGTCAGAAGGACAGTGTGCAAACTATATGTGGTATAATTGCATGGGAGGCCAGTAAATAACTTCTAAGTTAGTGTAGTAATATAATAGTGTAACACCTTTGGAGATGACTAAAGTGAAAAGCTGCATTTTTTGAATCCCTGCGTTATCTTTAGACCCAACGACTTCTTAGTCAGTGGAGTGATCTCCCCGTTCGCAAGGAGACAAGCAAAGTTTGGAGACTGAGCCACTCGTCCCTGGTCACGGAGCTAGAGAGTGCCAAAGGAGGGTTTAACACCTCCGTTAAGTCACACCTTATCCGTGTGACTGAAAAAATCCACCGAGGGTAGCGTTCTGGAGGTTGTGCGACAAGTATGTCCATCCTCAGGATCATATCTTCCATTAAGCATGGATTTTATGATCGTTCACAACCACCCGTCCACTTTGGGACCACTAAAGCTTTTTTCCTGATGGCTCTGTTCCTATTTAAAGAGAGTGCCCCTCGCCCTCTTGTGTGCAAGCTGTTGTCTGTACTCATTCAGCTGTGGCTTCCAGGCCCATCTTGCATGCCCAGAAACCACAGCTGAGGTCAGTATTTCAGACACTTGCTGCTCCAGGCAGCTGCTGGGGCCCTGCCATGCCTCTGTTTTCAGAGAACAGCTGTCTCAGTCACTGTGTCTGGCCACTTTGCTCATCTTGGACTTTTTAAAAAAATTGCAACCAACCCAAATACAAATGCTGTTATTAAAAAATCACCCATTCTGTACTCATGCTGTTTGTTTTCAATAACCCAACTGTAAAAGTTTACTTTTTTTTTTTAAACTAAACTATGAACACAAATTGCAAGGGTTTATAGGATTCTACCAATTAAGTATAATTATATTATCTCTGACCTATTTTTCAGGCTACAAAAGTTCTATCTCTAGCTTGATATCTAATCTATTATGTACCAGCCTACCATCTGTCTACCCATCCTTCCATCCCTTTCCATCCATCCATTCACCATTCATCCACTCACTCATCCATTCTTCCATCCATCCTCCCATCCATTCACTCATCCATCTACCTATCTTCCCATCCATCCATCCATCCATCCATCTTTCCATTCATCCATGCATCCATCATCCATCCATGTTTCCATCCATCCATCCATCCATCTATCCATCTTTCCATCCATCCATCCATCCACCCACCCATCCATCCATCCATCCATCCATCCATCCATCCATCTCTCCATCCATCCATCTTTCCATCCATCCATCCATCCATCCATCCACCCATCCATCCATCCATCCAACCAACCATCTTTCCATCCATCCATCCATCCATCCACCCATCCATCTCCATCCATCCATCCATCCAACAGTTGCTGTCTAGCTATCTCTCTTCTATCAAGTATTTATGTCCAACAGATGTCTTCATGATTATCTGCATTGGGGAACAGAATGAAAAATACCACAGGTTTCAACCTCAGCACAGAAACCTTCTCCTGCAGAATCTCATTCCTCCACTTGTTAAAAGATACCCTAAGACAGGAAAAATGCTCCTGATTTTAAATTCTGTGCTTCTCAATCAATTTATGTCATCTCCTTCTTTCCCTAAGCAAGCTGACTGGCAAATATAATCCCAAAATATTACTCTCAAGTGCCTTTCATTTTTTTAATGCATTCTTTCTCTTTTAAATAACCCTCTGGCCTGTGGGATCAGATAATTTTACTCTAAAAACAGAGGGAAAGTATGGGAGTGTCTGAAAATGATACCAATATGCTGAGAAACAGCCCAGTGACTCTCACAAAAGGAATGGACGGGCAGGGCATGTATGAGATTTTCCTGAAGAAGACAGATCTTTTCTTCCTATTATGCTAATAAAACAAGCAGATTCCCATTGTATTTACAGACTGGTTTCCATCATTAACACATGTCTGGGGTGGGGGGAGGGGTTCACTTCCATGTTTTGCATCATGGTCCCAGAAGGAAAGGTGGAGATCATCCAAAGGCCTTATGTGAAGAGGGGAAACTGAGGCTGGAGGTATGACTGATGGCACAGATACTCAGAAGCAGGGTTGAGGCCACAGAGCCAGTCCTGGGGCTCCCTCTTCTGTCTTGACCTCCTGTTCCCCCGACCCTTGGTGACTACACATTCATTACATACCTCTCAGGTTTTCAACTTCCCTTTCTTATGAGGCCATGATATGAAACACAGACCCGGTGTGTCCCACATGAGCGACTGGAGTGACTGCAAACAAGGGTATCTGATATTTTCTAGGGTATCTAGGCACAGCAGATCCCCTGGTTCCTGGAGAGAATTCTATGGGACATACTTACTCGTGAAGAACGGATTATGTGCTAGAGGAGTCGGAATGATTTCATAGCAAATCTCCAAAGGATGAAGGCACGGATGCCTTAGAGCATGTGCAGTCAACTCCCCCTGAAAGCCAAGACGGGGTGTAGATTTCCCTAAACCGGGTGGTTCTTACGTCTTCTACCTGTCAGCCTTGATGGCTTTCTTGGGCAGAACTGTTAAAGGGACGTGCCCTGCCTCGTGTTGGGGTGGGTAGACGTGCGGAGGAAACAACATTTTGAAGACCACGGAAGTGTAGTACGTTTGGGCAGAAAGCTCACATTCCTCATAGGCTGATCGCAAGGGGCATGGACCCTACATGGGTAAAGGGCACCCTGCAACCCATGGGGCCAGCTTGCTCAATGTCTTCATCAGTGAGTCAATGCACTAAATTAAGAGAACATCTTCGCCACCTTTAGGATGCCCCCAAACACCCTCCTTGCACTCGGCCTATATTTTAGTTGGAAGGAGAAACACTGGACATGAACAACAACAAAAAAATCATGGGTGCTGCCCCCTAGCGGTGGTATTGGGTATGCAATCCCAGTTTCTCCATTAATTTCTTGGCTTAAGTTTTCTTAACCCAAACCCGCAGGCTGGCTGCAGGAGGTCCTGAGGGGTTAGGAATTCATCCTAGGAATCTTGGAGGACACGATTCAGTCCATTACACAGAGTGATGGCTGAGAGAGGGCAAGGCGTGCTCTTGGGATGTGAAAATATTGTAAAATGCATAGTGGTGACTTCTCGGAAGCTACCAGATGCGAATGGATTGTCCAGTTTTCGTTGGGGGAATGGTCTATCCCAACAGGTATAACTGGGCAGGCTCAGCATGGGGGGAGGAAGGTCCCTGCGTACACAGGGCAGTGTCTGCTGCTGTTGGAAAGGCTGTAACCAAAAGGGGTGGGCCTGGGTCTGTGCTGGGAAGTCCCAACGTGGACTGCTAACGCCAAGACAGATCGTGTGATGCTGCCCTGGTGGTCTTTCTAAAAGAAACAGAATGAGGTGCTTCTTGTCTCCTGTTTCACAGATCACGCAAACACCATCGTTCCCATGTTTGCCAGGAGGCAAGACGCAGGAGCCTGCGTACTGTGAATACGGAGGTCCACTGAGGTCCGCTGAGGTCCCCACAGCGAGCGATTAGCAGCCTCAGGGGCACAGCTGTCCTATCCTAATCCCCGGTATTTGTGAATAAGACCTGACTTGTAAACGGGTCTTTACAGGTGTCATTAGTTAAGGATCAAGGGATGAGCTCATCCTGGATCAGGGTGGCCCTAAAGCCAATGACAGGTGTCCTTATAAGAGACAAAAGACGAGACACAGACACAGAGGAGAAGCCACAGGAAGACAAAGGCAGAGATGGGAGGGATGTGGCCACCAGCGTAGGGATGCCTGGAGTTCCAGAAGCTGGAAGAGTCAGGAAGGACCCTGTCCTGGTGCCTCTGGAGGGGGCTCAGCCCTGCCCCGCCTGGATCTCAGACTTCTGGTCTCCAGGACTGGGAAGAGAAGAAATTCCTGCGTCTCAAGTTACTCCATTTGTGGTCTTTTGTTCAGGCAGCACTAAGAAAGGAAGGAAAACACCCAACCACCTGAGTGCCATAGTGTTTGAACATTTCAGTTTAAGACCCAGCTTCCCCGTCAAAAAATAATTTCTTGGGGCTTCACGTCTGATGCGCTGAGGGCTTTCCCACTATAGGCAGATTTCAAAGACATCATAAACCACATGCGTTTTCTCTCTCTCTTTCTCTCTCTCTCACACACACACAACCTCTAGGACCACCAGCATCACCAGCACGTTATACCTGAGCGTATGGTTCCCATAGCATCCAAGATCCCCTATGCCAAGATCGTCTGCCATTATCAGTAGAATATTGGGTTGAAGGGCATTTGCTGCTTTTAACTCGGACGTCCTCAGGAGCAAACACAGAAGGAGCAGACCCCACAAAAAGTCCCTGGAGAGACAACCAACAAGGCCCAAATTAACGTCCAGGATTTGTAATGTTCAGTGGGCATTTCCAAGCGGCTTGCTGGAAAAGCACGTGCGTTTGCCCTAAATCAGCATTTACCTCCTCCCGAACCCGTTGGTCCTTAATTCTGCTACTTCGGTGGGGCGCTCCTTAAAGGGCTGAGCGCTTGTCTTCCAGGGCGCGCTTTCCTGCCTTTCCCAGTGCAAAGGCGGCCAGAGCGAGCCCTCCGTCCCCGGAGCCACCCCACAGGAGGTAGGCGGACCCAGAGGGTCGGAGCAGCGGGGCACAGGCATTTCAAAAGGAAGAATGTGGGATTCAGGGCACCCCGGCCACGACAGGGAGACAAGGCACTGCTGGTGGGACCCAGTAGAGACAACACGGTCTTGGAGCGAGCGTGGCCAGCAAGGCCCCCGCGGGGCGCGCTAAGGGCCGCGCGGGGAAGGGATTTGGGGCGTCCCAGACGCGGTTCTGCGGCCCTGCCCGCCCCCTAACCGGGTGCGGGGGACGCAGGGCCTGGGGCGCCCAGGTCCTCATTCCTGGCTGGCAGCTCGAGCGTGCCTCGGGGCCGCCAGTGCTGTCCTGTCCCCTGATTGCGCCCCGGTGCTCCAGCAGTCCGGAGCAAGGGGGCAGGGAAGGTCTCTCGGCCGCACAGGGCGGAGGCGGAGCGTCCAGAGGGTGGTGGAGAGGGGGAGGAGGGGGCACGGCCGCGGTCCGGAGAGGGAGTCTTGGGGAACTGGGCAAGTCTTAGGGCTGGGGGCCAGGGCTCCGCTCCGGATGTGGGGGTGGGCAAGTCTCCGCTTGGGCTGGGGAGGCCGAGCCGGGGACCGGAGGGCGGGGCGGGGCGGGGCAGTGTCGGAAGGAGGAAGCCGCGCGCTTTGGGAGGCGGGGAACCGGGTGCTGGACCGGACGTGTCTCAGAGTGGGGGAAGGTGCGGCCGCGCTGGGATTGGGGGGGGGAGGAAAGGAGCAAGGGTGGGGTTGAGGGGACGTCGCGGTGCTGTTAGGGTGCGGAACCAAGGGGGGTCCCTGCGTGTCCTAGGGAGTGGGGATTGGGGACACGGCCACACTCCGGGGGGTAGGCGGCAGGGAGCGGGAGGGGGCGTGTGCTGGACCGAGGGTGCACGCGGCAGCGCTCAGGGGGAAGAGGGTGTTTTGGGGGCCTGGTGCTGGCGCTGCTGGAGGAGGGGGTACTCGGGATCAAGGGATCGCGTCCTACGCAGTGGGGGATGGGGACCAGGCCTCGGTCTGCCGGGGCGTGGCCTCCGAGCACCAGCCCAGCGGTTCCCCTTCCTGTCGCCGGCCCTCCCTCCCTCTCCTCCGTCCAGCCTCCCCTCTCCTCCCGTCCAGCTCCAGCTCTCCGCCCCCGCGTCCCTGTGACTGCGAGGCAGACGTCGAGCTGCATTTTGGTGACTCCAAGGCGCACACACCGCCCGCCCGTCCCGGAGGCCACTGTCACCCAGTGTGTGCCTCCTCCCAGCCCTCAGGCCCGTCCCGAGTGGGGGCCGCGCCCTCGGGCCCCGAGCACCTGGTAACGGGCGCGGTGCATCCCTTCGGAGCCCTGGGAGCCATGGCGGCGCGCGGGCCGGGCGCGCAGGACCTTGGCCCCAGCGCGCGGAGCCCGGACCCGCCCACGCAGCGGAGCCCTCCGGGCGGTAGGGCCCCGTCCCGCCCCAATCCGTTTAATCTCCTGTCGCCCAGGGCTTTCCGGGAATAGATCTTGGAAACCGGTTTTCCGGTGGCCTCCGGGCGGGCACTCCCGGGAGAGGATGAGGAACCCGGGCTGGATCTGGGCTCGGGGAACCCCAGCAGTTTCCAGCAAGGTCTGGAAAGTTCTGGGGACTGCTCCCGTGCGGTCAGACAGCCTGGATGTGAATTCTGTTTCACTAGGGTCCAGGATGCCATCCCACTTCTCTATGGTCAAGGTGGGGTGAGGGGGCAGGTGTGAGCTAGGCTAGTTAGACCCTCACCCACAGGACTTGACACCAGGGGGTCTACCTGGTGGTCACCTCCCCGTCCTGGTCCTCATTAGCTCCCCGGAGTTCTCTTTGTCCCTCTCCAACTCCGTTCTGCGTTTTGCGGAGATAGTCACTGGGAATTAAGGCTTGCCAAGAGCTTGAGGGCTGGGGCAGTTTGCTGAAGGTTCTGTTCAGAGGAAAGACGATTTTGCCTTAGAACTGGCGGCCCTAGTCAGCTCACATTTCCCGGGAGGTCTCCGGAGAAGCCCACCCTGTTCACACCTTGATCTTAGGACTTCCCAGCTCTGCAGCTTGGAGAGGATGAAGTTAGGGGGTTAAAGCTGCCGTCTTGCAAAGTGATGGTGGTGGGGCGTGGGGCGTGTGTGTGCAGGGAGAGGGGCTTGGGTGCAGGGTCCGGGACAAAGTCCCCATCGTGCTGGTGTCCCGTCCTGGGCATGTCCCGTGCAGAGCCTGCGGGCCAGGGGGCTTGGTGCTAATGCAAGGACCTCCCACACAGAGCGGGAGAACCCTGAATACCCAGCACAGCCCCCCAGCAAGTTCTGGGTTTCCCTAAATTTCTAGGGCATCTGTTTGCGGAGAATAATCGCTTGAAAAGTGTCAATAAATCTAAACTCTTTAAACTAGCCCCCGTCACACCTTTTCTGGGCTAAGTTTGGTGCTCCCCTGGCCTTTGTCAGCAAACCCTTCTGGTGCGGAAGTATCTTCCCCTGGGACTGTGAGTCTGGATGGGGACAGAGCAGCCTCCTCTGGGTGGGGCTGGGGTTGGGGAATGGAGATCCCCACAGCAGGAGGGGCTTTGCTCCTCACTCGTTGGGGGTCCGAGGGGGCTTAACAAGCCCAGTGTGGTTTGGTTGACTTAAGGGTGATGGCACACTGCTGTGTCTTCCTTATACCTTTTGGGTTTCGGGGTGCAGAACTGTCCCACCCACATAAAGGGACGTCGTAACTTCACAGGGAGTTGTATTTGGACCAAGGAGTACCTGGACGAGGGAGGGAGCTAGCGCTCCCCAGCAGGCAGTAATTCTGGGTCACCTTCCCGGTCACACCAGCAGAGGGGGAACCGGCCACAACAGGGCTGGAGCCACGGTTTCCAGGTGTTGCCCTGCATGTCCAGCTGCAGAGGAACCGGGCTGAGCGTCTGGCGATGCTCCTCCACAGCCCGTGCGACCGTGTCCAACACCTGATGGAACAAGGGCTCCGTGTCGGGGGTGAGGACATGGGCTTCGGAGGGGTCTCTGGACAGGTCGAAGAGCAAAGGTGGGTCGTGATGGGCCACTTGGTCTCCAGAGCACGGGCAGACCCCTCTCCCGTAGCAGGCACCGGCGCCCTTTGGGTGGAACACTGGGGTTGTGTAGTGCACTTTCCATAGTCTTCCTCCTGAGGGAAGGACGAGAATCTCAGGGGGTTGACGTGGAGAAGCAGAATGATGGCTGGAGAGAAGCTGAAGTGAATGGTTGAGCAGATGGGGGCCATCCACGCCATGGGATGCGATCAGCCATAAAAATAAATGAAGCTCTGAGATCTGTTACCTTGTGCATAAACCTCAAAAACACGCTGCTCCGTGAGAGAAGCCAGATATCCAAGGACACAGAGTGTGGGATCCCCTTGGTAAGAGATGTCCGCAACAGGGAAATCCACAGACCCAGAAAGAACACCACTAGATGCCCAAGGCTGGGGAGGAGAGTGGAGAGAGTGCTAACAGGGACGGGGTGTCTTCGGGGGAGTGGAATGTTCTGGTAGGAGACACAGGTGCTGTTAGCACAACATGGTGAATATGTCACATGCCCCCGAGCTGTACCTTTTAAAAGAGTGAATTTTACAGCGTCATGGGCTGAAATCGTGTCCCTCCAAAATTCATATATGCAGCCCAGACCCCCAAAAGGATGGAATCAGGAAGTGGAGGCTCTGGGGAATTAACAGGTCACAAGGACAGAGCCCTCAAGAATGGGATGAGTGCCCTGACAAGGGCCAGGACAGAGCTTGTGTCCCTTGTCTCTCCACCACGTGAGGACACAGTGAGAAGGGGGCAGTCTACCAGCCAGCAGAAGCCTGTCTGGGTTGTCCAGCCCCCAGAACTGGGAGAAATAAGTCTGTGGTTTGTAAGCCACCACTCCATGGCCTTCTGCTGAGACTGAACTACAGCTCGGTAAAGCTGTTTGCAAAGGAGTGAATTCCTCATGCGTGGTTCCAGGCAAGATGCTCAAAGGCTTAACATGGCAACAGCTGTTCTCCTGAAGCTTGCTCCCAGGCTCACCCCACCCCCACAGATAGGCTGGCACCGAAAGGAAAAGGAAGGGAGAGAGGAGGAGAGGACGGAGGAAGGGAGGAACAAGCTAGAGCAAACCACCTCCAGCTTCCGGGAGGGCACCAGACCACACTCTGCCTCAGGAGGGACTTGGAAAGAATGGAAGGGAGGTCCATCGGGGTTCCTGCACCAGCCTCCTGCACGGAGGTGGGTCATGCCAGCATCATTGCCTGTCCTCCCCGGCTTCCTGCTTTTGGGAGGGAGGCCCCCACAACCATGCTTTGTATCCCCCACAGGGCAGTGAGTCTGGGGGAGTCACGTGGGTAACCAGAGCATAGAGAGCAGGGTTCTGGTGGGCCTGCCTCCTCCAGGAGCAGCTCCAGGGGCAGAAAGACCAGGAATCAGGGACAGATAAGGGTCAGGATCAGGGCTACTCCTGGGCTCTGGGAAGGAAGCCATGAAGTTCAGCCCTATGGGCCCAGCAAGGTCAGTCACTGCTGTGATAATTCAGCAAACGTGTTGAGCACAAGGAGAAGACAGACAAGTCTTAGAGAGGCAAAAGAGGCCGGACAGTGGTAAACCCGCAGAAACAAGAAAATTGTAAAGGGTGGAAGGTGATGGTGGATGTGTGAGTGTGCGTGTGTTGGCAGGGAAGTTGGGTGCACCGTGGAGGGGTTTGTTTGGGTCAAGAAAGCCTCGCTGAAAAGGTAATATTGCATTTGAACATGGAGAATGAGCCAGTCACGTGGAGATCCAGCCCTATTTGAGGGGGGTTCCCAGAGATGGGGAGGGGATAGGTCATCCCACAAGGAGGAATTTGGAGGCATTTGTTCTGATGTGTGTGCCGTGGGTGGTCTTGGGATGGCTTTCAGCAGGGGGCTAAGTGGATTATTCATGTAGGATGAACAGTGGATCTGCAAAAGCCAGTTCGGGTGCCCTTGAAGACGCTTGGGCACTGGGAATACACTCCCCATCTGCTCCCCTTGAAGAAATATAGATGCATTTGCCCAATGACTGAGAGATGAGAGGCCCATAATGGGGTAGCCACAGTGTAAAAGAACAGATCGGAACACTGGACACACCCATTAATGCTCTCAGGCATGCATGGGTGTAGATTGGGATGTAAAATGGAATGACGGTTTTAAGGAAACCCTAAAAAATGGAAGGAAATAGGTAATACATACTTTTTAAAAAAATGAAATGTAGCACTAAAAGCCATGCCAGATTACAATAACATTGAAGAGAATGGGTGAAAAGGGAGGGCCATTTAAGGAAAAAAAAAAAAACAAACTATGGTAATTTCCTCAAATAAGGGGAATCCAAAGAAGTATTCCTTCTCTCCTGATTCAGACAGTTAGAGACTTTTAGAGAATGGTTTCGAGGCATGGAAAGATGAGTTAAAGCTCTAGGATAATACAGCCCTTCCCAAACACTGGCGAGAAAAAAAAAAAAAAAAAAAAAAAAAGAATCAGAAAACCTATGCAATCACAAAGTCACTAATCTGATCAATTCATAGGGCAAATCCAACAGAGGAGAAAATGTCAGGAAACATCAGAGTAATAGGGTAATAAAAATGAAGAAAAGTCACTCAAATAGGTGAAACTCTGTTATCAGAAGACAAAGGTAGCAGCCGAAATTAACTGTGTATAAAATTTAAAAATAATAGTTCTCGAGTCAATGCAAGAACTGAGGTTTTGAAAGAAACATGATTCCTAAAAACAGAAAACTTCTGGGAATGCCAGTTAGGGTAAGATGAACAGTAGATCCTTCTACACATGAAAGGAATTAAAATACAATGACATTACGTGCGACAGGAATAATATGCTTGATGAAATGCATACTTTTTCAGTAAAAAGAGTAAGGGGAGGGACATAACAGGTTTCAGTTGTGAAAATCTGATACTGTAAAGATAACAGTATGGATCCATGGGATGCCAAGGCAATTCAGATTCCCATGGGATTAAAAAATAATCTTGCAAATGATCTTACAGTTCTTTTAAAAGGCCAGTTGGGCCAAAATAGCCCAGGAAATTTCAAAATGCAAAAATTCTACGGTATGGTCATGGCGGCTTATACCACAAAGTTATGGTTATGACAAGGGTGAAACCGTGTTGTTGAGTTGAGGTGGTTGAGACAGGTGGAAACTGATGTAGATGAAGAGAAGGGCCTTTGAGGGCAAGAGGCAGACCACAACACTTGTGTGCAGGAGAGCCATATGAAAACCCCATAAACAATCATAATATGGTGATAAGGTAAATGACTGCTTGCATCAGGAAAGATGTTGCTGGTGTCCGGGGAAAATACTGCCCAGAAAGGGAGAAAAGGGCCAGTTGTGAAGCAAAGCCACGGGAACAGAAGCCAGGATGTGACTTGGTTCCCAGAGTACTCACTGTCCCGTTGGTGCCAACGGACTGCGTGCAGGAAATTCTCACAGTAATGCATCAGGAACTCGTGGTCAGAGTGCTGTGCTGTCCCCAGCAGCAAGGGCAGCAGGTCCCGGCCATCGATCACCCTGCAGACAGGAGCACAGGGACTCAGGATTGCTGCAGGGGTGCACGGAAGGCATGCTTGAGCCTTCGCAAGCTTAGGGAAGCATTGCAAGAGGCATCTCCATTATTGGTCTACAAACATCATCTTTGGCTAAAAGATCACCCAGGATCCCACAGGCTCAACTGAAGTTATTATTTACCCAACCTTATTACCAATGCAAGAATAAGCTGAAGATTCAGTGAAATGCCTTTTTGGTTTTATACTTTATTGGGCTCTAAGCCATGACTTCATATGCTGTATTCTTAAATCAACATGGTACCATTTCCTTGTCTGCAGAGTGCCCTGCCTCTCCTCCCCTCCTCCATCCCTGCCTTCCTCGTCTTCCTCCTCCTCCCCTTCCCTGTCTTCTTCAGTTTGCAAGATGGAGCTCCATGCCCATTCAGGATGGAGGTTTCTTGAGATTCCACTTCCATTTCCTCCATCCTTTTTAGGAGAAAACCTATATCAAGCAATGTGATTTGCAGGGGCTGCCACGGGCATTTTTATGCCCCAGGGACCTGGTCAATTTTCAGAAACCTTTGTGTCCAGATGAAAATCATCAATACCAAGGATAGATTTTTACAGATACCATGAACTTCGAAAAGCCATAAAAAGGGGATCTTTTTCTCTAATTTGACTAATGTTCTTTGTCAAGGTAGAGAATTCAAAACCTCAAGGAGATTTTACTTAGAGTTACTAGTTACCATGAAAAATGAAACAAAAGAATCTATCTACAACATATATATATATATATATATATATATGTATCAATATAATTACACCTCCAAAAATGTATTCATTTACACATAGACACATGTATATGATTATGTGTCTGTGTGTGTACCTATATCAGACACTATATGGCCATATTTATTTTACCTTCTCATGCAACAACACATTCGCAATATACATGTCAGACAAATTTAATTTTTAAAGCAAGTGATATAAATTAATTTAAAAATTAGCACCCAATTAGGAAAAATAATCCACCAGAGATATGATATTCAGTGCAAGAAAAGAGACAACAAGGTATGAAATATTCAACCTCTCTAAGGATAAAATAGTGAAAATTTTAACACACACATAGATGTATACTTGTATAGACACATATGAATAATTTATATATAAATTACATGTACAGAGTTGACATTGATTTTAGTTCTGTTATGTTTTAAAATGGGTACCTCACATATGACTGCTGGTGATTCCTAAGGAAAAGTTTGACAAAATATAATCAAGAGATTTACCTAAAAAACGGTCATAATCTTTGCTCAGGAATTCACTTTCTAAAGGATTCTTGTTTAGGAGACAATTATAACTGGCAATAAAGTGACCAGACAGTATTTTTTTTTTTAAAGCAAGGCTAATGTCCACATATAAGGGGATGGTTGAAAGAAAATAACATGAAGTCATTAAATTTTGTTGTCTATGCACAAAAATTTCTAAAAATGTATGTATTTGTATAAATAATATATATAACGTGGAAAATATATCTAAATCATATATCTTAATCTACATATCTAGATAGATGATATGTATCATACAATTATAACTATGAGAATCATTTATTATCCTATGATTGGACAATTATGATTAAATGATTGTATACATAATTCACTATCAGATTCTGAAATAATTTTATTTTCTATTTTCCCTCAAGTTTTCTGTAATTTTTAAGACAGAGGAAAATTGAAATCTATGCAAAATCTCTACCACGAAAAGGAATTTCCTGTGACGAACTGTTAGATTTTTCAGTGACCACCATAGTAAAATGCCTCCACTCAAGAATCAGGAGAAGGAAAATGGGCATTCTCTATATGAAATGAAGCAGGTGGCTGATCTTGGTGGCTAATAGTAGGGAGCCTAGATAGAGTGTTTTCCCAGAGACTCATTTCATGGACGTGTTACGCAATTCAAAAGTGACAATGACATTTCACATACATGTTTGTCTGTATGCAAAACTGACTTGCTTGGGTTTCCTTGAGCTGTACTGTACCTGTCCTGGGGCACCTCACCGCCCCCCAGCTGGGCCACGGTGGGGAAAACATCCATCAGGCTGGTGGGCTCGTGGATCACTCGGCCGGCCGGCAGCACCCCAGGCCACCGGAAGATCCCTGGGACGCGGATCCCACCTTCCCAGCCCCCCATCCCTTTGCCACCTGTGTGTAAACATGAACAGAAAAGAATGTGATTGTGCCATTTTTTTTTTTTTTTGCAGTGTGCTTAGCCATCTTTTGGGTACACCCAATAAGGATGTGTCTGTAGTTGGTAAAATTCCAGTTTGAATATGATGTGGCCACCACGGTCCTTGGATGCATTGCATAAATCCTGAGTCCATCACTTGAATGGATGACCAAAGTGTGGTCCATCCAGACAATGGAAGATTACTCAGCCATGAAAAGGAATGAAACACCAACACTTGGCATAATGTGAATGAATGTAGAAAACTTCATGCTCGGTGAATGCAAGCCAGGGGCCAAAGACCACATAACTGCATGATTCCATGGAACGGTTACACTAGGGAAATATACAGAGACTGAACTCAGCTGGTGGTTGTCAGGGGTTGGGCACAGAGGGAACCAGAGAATGATTGCAAATATGTGCTGAGGCTCTTTTTGAGGGGATGACCATGTTCTGCCATTAAGTGGTGGTGATGGTTGCACAATTCTGTGAATAGACCAAAAACCACGGCATTGGGCAAAAGAAAAAAAAAATCACAAATTATAATTTCCACCTCTAACAGAAAAACAATATTCCGTGGTGACTCTCTTGAGGTGGATGGCCCCATTCCATGGGAAGGGTTGGGAACTGAAGGGTAGGGATAGAGACCATGAACAAGAAGCCCATCGTCTCTCTACCTTTGTAGATTCCATTCCAGCCGCCATATTGGTTGTTTCTGAGTTGAGCCTCTAAAGATCCCCCATGATCCGACGTAAAATAAACAAGAGTGCTATTGGTCAAACCTTCCATATCCAAAGTATCAAGGATCTTCCCTGCAAAGAATATGTGCATTTGAGCAGGTCAAAATGGAGACTATCTTAAACCAAACTGTTCAGTTGTATGTCTCAACATTTTGGATATTTCCATGAGAACGAGCCTTGAGTATTCACATATAATGGCAGTGGGTAGCAATAAAATCATGCTATCCCAAATATCACTGACTCAAGATGCATATACACCCTTAGATATACCCCATTCTGTTTCTAAAAACTTTTACGCAAGCTACAGAGTATAGACTACATAGGAAAAAATAGCAAAAGCTTAGAAAGGAGGCAAAAAAGAAAAAAGAGTATAGAGTCAACCATATTTCGAATAAACAAAGGGAAAGAGGGGGAAAAAAGGAGAGATCAAGAGGGTCTAGGAACAAGGCTGACAATGGCATTGGCGATGTATGTCCACCCGTGAAGAGTGGCTTACAACTATGGCTCCAAGTCACTTATAATCACCTCAAAGGGAAATCTTATGGTTGACGCAACACCATGTCTATGAGATTTTTTTTTTTTTTAACTTGGATGGGAAGAATCATATTATTTTATTTCCAACAGGAGACAGAACTTAGAATCTACTTTTTCATGAGGCCCTGGTGTTGTGAAAGTTGACTATGGTCTCAAGTAGATCCTGTTACTGGGTAGGTTTTACTTCTACCTTATCTGTGTCTTTATATTTAAACAGTATGTCTCTTGAGTTGGTTCTTGCTTTTTTCTCCAGTCTGGTGACACTGCATTTTCTTGGGTTTGACTGAGCACAATGAAGACCATTTTCCATCCCCTTAGCTTGAAATTAGCCATGTCCCTATTATTTTTCTCTTTCTTTGTTCCACCTGTAGTTAAGCCATTTCTTTGTCTTCAGTTGCTGAAGACTTAAAATCTGTGGTTCTAGGAAATCCCCCTCCTTCAATTAATAGATTTTATTTTTTTTTAAACAGCTTTCGGTTTTATAGTAAGCTGAGTCATAATGTCATCTATGAGCCAATACCGATAAACTCTTATTAACTAAAGTCTATAGTTTCTATGGTGGTTCGATCTTGGTGTTGTACATTCTAAGGGTTTTGATAAATGCATAATACCATGTATCTAGTGTTATAGTACCAGACAAAATAGTTTCTCTTTCCTAAAAATCCCCTGTCCTCCACCTATCTACACCTGGACCATGATTTTCATTTAAAAAAGTTGTCACATTGTGTCTTGACTGAGTTTGAAACTCAATCAAGAGCCATCAGTCTCAATCAAGGAGCACAGAGACACTGAAACCATAGAGAAGATTCTTGACCTAGGTCTTAAGAATTCCTTATATGATGGACTTAGGGGGTTCTTAACTCTGTACTGTAGAATTTCAGACTTTATCATTCAGTATGTATCGGATTACATATATCTGTAGGTCTTTCATTTAAAAGATTTTCCCTCAAGTTGTGGCATGGTGAATTCTATTTTAAACACACCATATTTGACATCACATAAAATAGCTGTATTTTCCAGTGATTCTTAATCTTTTCCACACAAGGACAATAATGGCAATGATGAGTCAGTCTGTCCTGAAGCTGCACTGGGGACATATTGTGACATCAATCTTTGCCTACCTATCTTCCAACCTCCAGCATTTTTGCCCACAATTTCCTCCAAGGTCATGTTTTCAATGGATTATTAAAATCATGTTTTCTCCTAAAATCTCTGATTCCCATTATGTTGCAGCTCCTAGCCCTCTATGTCCACCAGCATGTCAACCCAAGGTCATCCAAGTCCTTGCTTGAGCCTCAAGGGAGTCACTGTGTTTACATCCAAGGTACCCACTGAAGAAATGTGCACTCTGTGTCATACCAGGCATCATTCCAAACCCAGGGGATGCACAGGGAGACAAAGCAAGATAATCCTACCCCTGGGGATTTTAATCTATGTTCTCTTGGGGAAAAATAAGAAATCAACCCACCTAAGACAGTGTGATGAGCAGAAAGAAAGCAAACACAGTTAATCTCATCTCATTCTGTATGTCCTTTCCTCCTGCTGTTTCGGGAGGGGCACCCGTCCCATTTTCACTGGGAAAAGGCACTTACCCAGCATCCAGTCCATCTCTTCTGTGTTATCCCCGTACAGCCCGTGCACGCTCTTCCCACGGAACATCTCCGTAGTGATCAGAGGGGTGTGCACGTGTAGAAAGGAGACAAAGAGGAGGAAAGGTCTGTGCTTGTTCCTGAAAATAAGTAACTGGAGTTATTTTTACTTAAGGATAGATCGAGGTCCTAGAGACACAAAGTAGAGATCTAGTTTGTCACTTCCTTCAACAAGGATATCTGCTACTCTTTAATGTGATGACTTTACCCTTCTAAAGTCTGTTGAAAAATTCACACTGATACTATACACGTTTTTTCCCCCTTAATTTTATGAATTTATAACTCTTCATACTTCTGGCAAATGAACGTAAGATGGAACCCCAGGCAACTGTCTGATCTGACGTTTATTTCAATTAGTTCAGTATATGTTCCCATTTAGAACCTTAGCATACAGAATAAGGTGATTATTTCACATTTGGTTTTCTTTTTAATTACTCTCAAGCAACAAAGTTTAGGATATGCCTTGGTTATTTTAAAACACACTTTAAAAATGGCAAGTTTTAGGTTATTAATTTCAATTTGATTGTCACCCATCTAGGTGGTGCCTCATCTGTTCCTCTGTCTTCGACAGTAATTATCAGTATCATTTCTGACCCGTGTTAGGCAAGCCCATGAAAAGAATGTTCTGGAACATGATCACAACGTCATCTCCACCAGGTGAATTGGGGTTCTATGGTGTCCCCCTCTTTAGAGAAACACTTGGGGAGCATGGAACTGGCTCTGTGTGACGTAGCTTTATATCCGGCCCCTCTTAGCTCTGACATAGTCAATGCCTTTGTTATTCAAATTTACATTTACAATAGAGTTAGCAACAGGACAACTTAGTTCTGATGATAGAGCTTTAAAAATATTTATATTTATTGTAAATCTTCAGGTAATTCAGTTTGTTTTGTGAGTTAAATATGGTCCATGGTGACCAGTGGGTGCTTACATAATGGGACTGGCTCCAAGGATCAGGGAACAACAGCAAACTTCAACCGCCCTGTCACCTGTTTTAATTGGCACCATCAACTTGTGCTCAATGGAACACCATTTCTGACACATTTTACCAAAAATATCTTCCTGAGCCAGAATGATTTCACCATTCATATCTCCATTACAGAAAGAAAGTGGAAAGACTTTTCGAGATGCATTTTCATCATGGCTCAGAGTGCTAGGATGAAGCTAGCCCTTTAATGCTCACCGTTGGACAAAGGATGAGACCTCTTGAAGAACAAGAGGCGTCGTCCTTTGAAAGTGCATGGGCTGCTCCGTGATGGTGTGGTTTCTCATCAGAAAGCAGTCTGCATGAACAATCAGGACCCCTATGAAACAGGAGGTCACAAAGAGCAAGATGGCGGCAATGGTCGACCAGATGACCGGTGTCCATGAGCCCGATGTCAGATGGGTGAGCTTCCCAGTGGTGAGTGTGAGGGCAGCAAAGGCCATGATTTGGAAGCAGACGTGGAGTTTGTGCTCCATGCCTGCACGCTTCTCCGACAGTTCCCAGTGGATGCAATCTCCCATCATGGAAAACGGCATTCCATAGAAATGGTCAAATCCGTGGCTGATGGGGTGGTGGCAGTGATCATTGGAAGAGTCACAGTTGAGGCCCAGATGCCATTTTCCTGAAAGGCAAAGCAGATTCCCATGTCACAACGGCCTCATCATTGGTTAGGAGGTATCGCAGGCTTGCCCTCTTCCAGCTGTTCTGACGCATGCAGGAACAGGGTGGGGAAGTTCAAAGACGTGGGTAGTGTTCACGGCTGTTTCAACCACAACCTGGCTTAGCACCGTTACAGAACAATGAGGAGCATGTGTGGCAGCATTATGTGGTACGTTGTTTCCTATGCTACTGAAACAAATTACCATTAGTGTGGTTTCTTCAAACAATAGGAATTTATGTTCCCATAGTTCTGAAGCTAGAAGCCCAGGATCAAGGTTTGACAGGACTGTGCTCCCTCTGTAGGCTCCTGGGGAGTATCTATCCTGCCTCTTCTACTTCTGGGGGTTCCAAAAGTTCCTTAACTTGTGGTCATATCCCTCCCACTCTGCTTCTGTGGCCACACTGCCTTCTCCCCTTCCATGTCATATGTCCCTCTATGTCTGTCTGTCTTTTTTAATTTAATTTAATTTTCAGTGTTCCAAAATTTATTGTTTATGCACCACACCCAGTGTTCCATGCAATACGTGCCCTCCATAAAACCCACCACCAGGCTCACCTAAACCCCCGCCCCTTGCTCCAAAAACCTCAGTTTGTTTCTCAGAGTCCACAGTCTCTCATGGTTCATCTCCCCCTTTGATTCCTCCATCTCACTTCTCCTCTCCATCTCCCCATGTCCTCCATGTTATTTCTTATGTTCCACAAGTAAATGAAACCATATGATAATTGTCTGTCTCTGCTTGACTTATTTCACTCAGCATAATCTCCTCCAGTCCCGTCCATGTTGCTACAAAAGTTGGGTATTCATCCTTTCTGATGGAGGCATAATACTCCATAGTGTATATGGACCACATCTTCCTTATCCATTCATCCATTGAAGGGCATCTTGGTTCTTTCCACAGTTTGGCGACCGTGGCCATTGCTGCTATAAACATTGGGGGTACAGATGGCCCTTCTTTTCACTACATCTGTATCTTTGGGGTAAATACCCAGTCATGCAATGGCAGGGTCATAGGGAAGCTCTATTTTTAATTTCAAGAATCTCCACACTGTTTTCCAACGTGGCTGCACCAACTTACATTCCCACCAACAGTGTAAGAGGGTTCCCCTTTCTCCACATCCCCTCCAACACACGTTGTTTCCTGTCTGTCTCGTTGATTTTGGCCATTCTAACTGGTATAAGGTGGTATCTCAATGTGGTTTTGATATGAATCTCCCTGATGGCTAGTGATGATGAACATTTTGTCATGTGTCTGTTGGCCATTTGTATGTCTTCTTTGGAGATGTGTCTGTTCATGTCTTCTGCCCATTTTTTGATGTCTATGTCTGTCTTAAAAGGAGTCTTGATCTTGCATATAAAGCTTCCCTGGGTAATCCAGGAAAATCTCCTCATCTCAAGATCCTTCATTTAACCACATCTACAAAGACCGTTTCTCCATATAAGGTAATATTTTTTTTAGCTTCCAGCGTGTAGGATATGATATCTTTGGTGACTGTTATTCAGTCTACTGTAGCTAAATTTGCAAAGGTCTGTGTCAGAGCAGTAAGGAAGGCACAGAGGGCTCACATTGTTCTAGAAAATGATCTGCTGTTCTCAGTGTTGGCAAACAATTTCCTGACTTTGGAATTGTCCCTTTCTTTGTTAAACCACTGTAATGGTAGTCAGGGTCACGGTAAGTTAGAGGTTCTATGGAGCACAGCTTTCAAGTTCAATCAAACACAGATGCTTATCTTCTCCCCTGTCACTATTAGAGTGTTGATAGAGACCTTTGTGTCTTCCCACCACCCCAAATGGCCGTCTCTCATCCAGAAAACCTCATGAGATTTTCCAAGGAGTGTTCCATGAGAATAGACTTCTATCTCAAAAAAATTATAATAAGTCTATTGGATTGGATATTCCACGTATCAGCTAGTCTTGCTGTTCATGATCAGTAAATGGCACTGTTTAATAAACATTATCACTATAAAATAATAGCAACAATGACAGCTTGGTCCCCTCTCAAGAAACTCCTATCCTTCATTGTGTTTCATTTTGTACATGACATGGTTTGTTGACATCTAGAAAGATAAGCACGCTATTTATGGAAGTAGGGACGTACTAAGCCTTGCAGTCTCATTTCTGTGCAGAATTTAGGGAAAACATTATGGAAATTGTTGGCAACTTGTTGACATTAGGAAAAAATGTCTCTCCGCCCCCCTTTTTTTTAAATCACGGTGCATCAGCAAATACTATGAAATGGCAGGTGTTTCATTAAACTTATATATCTTCAGCATCTACTTCACACAATGCAGTCTGGGTACTCAGGTCATTCCTGCACTCGTGGAGCTTTCTGCCTGGTGGACAATCCCACTGCATCAAAACCATTTCATTCCCAAGGTTTTTGGTTGACTACACTCTCCATATAAAGGAAATGTACTTAATGCTTTAAAAATATACATACCTATTAGCCCAGTGGCATATCCTCTGTCTTTTAATATTTTTGCAAAAGTTGTCTCATTGGTTGGGAGCCCTCCAGATGCTCCGGTCCACTGAACAACACGATAACCATTGCTGGAAACCATACCTTTGGGGAACCATTTTCAAAGAAACATTACCATCAGACAACAGCACGTTAATAATAATGATAATGACAATAATAATGATGATTTTTTTTCATTTAAAATATGCTGTGAAACATTAATTGGAAACTTAGCAAGAAGAACTGTTGTCCTGTAATGTGAAGGTTATAAACACAAAGAGAATTAAGTGAAAAAAGGAAAGAGAATTAAAAATGGTTTTATAATTGCACCAGACTCTTGATATAATCCAAGTTTGAAAATCTTGTCTGGGCTTTGGAATCATTTGGGGAGCTTGAAAATATTCTGAGACCTGGTTTTCAATCCAGAGCTTGTGATTTTATTTTATTTTAAGATTTTAACTAATTAATTAATTCATTCATTATTTTAGGGAGAGAAAGTGTGGGCCGGGGGAAAGGCAGAGGGTTGAGAGAGGAAGAGAGACTCTCACGCAGACTCCAGATGGAAAGTGGGGCCTGACGTGGAGCTCAATCTTACGACCCTGAGGCTGTGACCTGAGCTGAAACCAAGAGTCAGATGCTTAGCCAACTGAGCCAATTAGGTGCCTCCCCAGAGATTGTGATTGTAATTGGTTGGGGTGGAATTTGGGATTTGGAATGGTTACAAGATGCCCCAGATGATCCATGTATGCTAACAAAGTAGGGAGGCATGGATAAAATTCACACTGACCCTGATTTCTTATTCAACTCAATTCACTCAATTATTCAAGTGTTTAAAAACATAGGTTAAATATTTTTCTAAAGCTCTGCAGTATACAGCCAAGAACCACTAAATTGAAAGATGTTCTGTACCTCCTAGACTGATTTTATGAATGCAGCTCAGTCTTCACTAGGAAGATCTGAGAAGATCTACTTGGCTCCAAGACTGAACATATCTCAACCATCATCGTTTGGGAACTTGGAGAATTCATTCTGAGATTTTCCAAAGCTTTGAGCATACATCTGGTTGAGTGGGAGAGTAGTGGAACATAAATTTACGTTAGCCAGAATTCTGTCTTCCCTGGGGGCATGAGTAGATGCCAGGGACCCATATATAGGAGAGTCTGTGAGAGTCACATGGCCAGGCCAGTCCACAGTTATTCGAACACTAGTCCCCAGTTACTCAGACACTAGTCCACTAGTTTAGGTGTTTCTGTGAAGGTTTTTAAAGAAATGGTTAACGTCTACAATTAGTTGGCTTTAACTAAAGGAGATAACCCTTGATATGGAGGTTCCTTATCTTTAGGGCCAAAGGGCAGAAGGATGCCAAAGACATCACACAGACTTCAAACTTTTGCTCCAATCCCTACTCAATCCCTCTGCCTGTGTCACCTCATTACCCGCAGGGCTCTATGGCTCTTACGGGGTCTAATCTGGTAGAAAGATGGAGGGGTTACATTATTTTCTCCCCACTATAGCAGTGGACCCATGCTTTAGTATCTCTAATATAGGGATCATGTTCTTCTCCAGAACCACGGTTAGACGTGAGAGAGGACAAACCTGATCGGAGAGGGTATCTGCCCGTTAGGAAAGCAGCCCTGCTTGGGGTGCACACTGATGCAGCTGCCACGTGCTGGGTAAGCATCACACCGTCCTCTGCGAGGCGGTCAATATTTGGAGTCCTACAGAGGGAAGCATGAACAGTGTTATTTCCTAACAAACAAACACGTATGGTCTCCTACAAGCATATCGACATATTTAATAGAAATTCATCTCATCAATGTCCACAATAGCCAAGCTATGGAAAGAGCTCAGATGTCCACCAATAGATGAATGGATAAAGAAGATATGGTCTATATATATACAGTGGAATATGACTCAGCCATCACAGAGAATGAAATCTTGCCATTTGCAATGATGTGGATGGAACTAGAGGGTATTATGCTAAGCCAGATAAGTCAATGAGAGAAAGACAACTATTATATGATCTCACTCATATATGGAATTTAAGAAATAAAACAGAGGATCAGAGGAAAAGGAAGGAAAAAATAAAACAAGATGAAATAAGAACAGAAGACAAACCATAAGACACACTTAAGTATAGGAAACAAACAGGGTTGCTGGAAAGGTGGTGGGAAGATGGGGTAACTGGGTGATGGGCATTAAGGAGGGCACATGATGTGATGAGCACTGGGTATTATATAAGACTGATGAATCACTGAGCTCTGCCTCAGAAACCAATAATGCATTATATGCTAATTAACTGAATTTAAATTTCCAAAAAGAAAGAAAATCAGCCCATCATCCTTTAACCCATCAAGGTGTTCTTGGGAATGACCAAAAGGCAGTAGCAAGAACTTCAAATGTCATCTGTACCATTGAAGTAACATAAACTCAGTTCAATATTGTTTACTAAGTTTCTGCAACATGCTGCTGGTACAGAGATGGGCATAATGGGAAATCCAGAACCGAGAATCTGGGGTGCCTTCTTTAATGGAACTCATGAAGATTGTATTTCTCAGCATCAACATATTGTAGTGGGGGTGGGATTCAGAGGCAGGTTCTTGGTGTTGCCCAAGCTGGGTCTCCAAGGACAATTAGATTGTGATCGAGGCTATGGGGTGAGCTCCTTCTTAGAGAGATGGGTCAGCAATGACAGATAAACATGTCATATCTGGTGGTGATAGGGACATGGATTTGTCCGTCAGAAGCAGAGCTTTTCAGCAGGGAGCGCTGAAGTCATGCATGAATGGATGGAGTTGGGCTGATGGATGGAAGTGGAGCATGAGGAAACTCGGGTCATTGACTCTGACGCAACACCAACGATTTTTAAACACTGTCCATCTTGGACCGTGCTGGTGAAAACACGTCTAAAAGTGAAGTGATGAGTCACAGGTAGGATGAATGTGAGCTGGGGTTAGCACTGGAGTGGGAAGAAGGAAGGGTTAGGGGCCATGGAAGGAAGTGTGTGCAGAGTCCCATCAAAGTTTGGATAGCACATATGGAGAGTTAGATCCATGGTCAGTGGTGTCTTCATTGGGGTCCCAGATGAACGACTCTCAGAATCCTTGCCTGATGCTCTTGTTGCCATAGCAGCCAATGTCACCAATGCCAAAATCATCTGCCATCAGAAGAAGGATGTTTGGACGCCCACCAGATAAATCCCTGCAAGCTGAAGGCCTCACTCCTAGAAGCATGCCGACCGTCACAGCCAGCCAGTTCCTGAAAGACAAGGTGCCAATGAACGCTTAACTCTGCTATCCCATGTCTTGTATGTGACTTCCGTAGGTAGGACTTTTTTAGTCAAGTCCACATTTTAGGGGACTTTGATATTAGCATCACATTGTAGAATAGTTAAGTACATTCTTGGGCATTTGACTTTTTCTTAGTTGAAGACAACTCATACTCTTGATGGTTTTATTTCAACTGTCAACATTTTTTGGCATTTTAAGCCCTGGAGTCTGTTGTTAGGTCATCACACCCATGATTAAGAAAAAACCTTATTTGGTTTCTTATTAGGCATGGATCAGGTCCCTAGAATAGCTACAGCTCCTTCCCCTTTGCCTCTTCATTTTTCCTTAAATAAGTCAACCGTGTTGAACTTGGGTATCTGGCGCTTGGTAGGCAGTTGGACCACTGACCAGAGCAAGACAGAGAAGAAAAGTCAGGGCAAGGGCTTACCAATACCAGCTGTTAATTCTGAGTCTATTAAAAGTCTCCATATATTCTAGCATGAATTTTTTCATGATGGGAAGTGGGTCTTTTGAGGTTTCAGCCCAGAGCAGAGACACTTGGTGGTGGCACATTTGGAGAAAGAATTGCCATGGAGCTTGGGGGCATTCCCACCACCATCACTATCATAAACCCATAACCATGGCATTCATGGAGCCCCTCCTCTCTCTTTACATGGAAGCCACCTTGGGCTCATGCATACACAGCAGGGCAAGAGTGCTGCCATCCCCAGTGCCATGGAGTAAAGATGAGATCTGAGTTGCCAAAGATCTGCAATATGGACTCCCTGGAAAACCAGACAACTGGGTTTGGGAATAGGGAAACAGACTTCCTGCAGAAGCTCCTGGATGGGAGGTGTGGATCACTGATAGGAATCCCGAGTCCCACGATCACTGGCCCACATGCACCATCAATGATTAGGTGAACAAGACCACTTTGTCCATGCATCCTGACAAAGGGACAAAAAGAAATGTAGAAGCAGAAACAGAAAATCAAGCATCGCATGTAATCCTGTCTTACCAATAGTGGTCCCGAGGTAACATGTTCTCTCCTAACTTTTATTGCCTGGAAGGAATAAAGGAGGTCTGTCATAACAAAGGCAGCAGACATGCACTCATTCCATGCATAAAATACTAAGTATTTAGCGAAAGGGAGACTTTGATTTTCTCCGATGATATCAACGAAACCTTAAAACAATGACCAAAAACTCTCATAAAAAGAATGGCCTTCCCCATTAAAAAGGCTTTTAAGATGATGAACACCATGTTAAGAATGTAGAATGTATGAATTTCAAAGGCTGGACAATATGGATTTGGGTTTTTTTTTTTCACCACATGATCTCATCTGTCCCAACTGAAAGTCTGTCCCCATTAAATACGAAGTCCCCATCCCACCCGCCAACCCCTGGCTCAGACATTAGGGGAAAGCCAACTTTGGATTTCTGTGGGTCAATGACCTTGATCAGCTCGGCCCTTGCAGTGACCTTGAAGACCTACTCATGAGTTGTTTGAAGCGATGTTGGCTTCCATGTTGGGGGATGCTTCTGCCTGGGAGGCATCCAGCCCTCCCATGAGCATCACCTTGCCCCATGTAAGCTGTTCCTGAGAGAGGCCAATGGACTCTGTGTCCTTCAAGTGCAGCCTGAACTTTCTGCCTCCTTCATATTCTGTGGACGTCAGTCTTTGGCCACAGGTGGTACGGGGTTCTTTCCAAACTTCCTAGCCATCTCAGGTGATTTCTCACACTTTTGCACACAGTATTTGTTTCACCTTGAGGACAAGGCAATGAGCCTGTGGTCAACCAGAAGGCTGTTATGTGTAGCAGGGACAGGGCAGAGCTTGTGCAGAGATAGACCTCATGGGCTAGGTTCCTTTGTGGGCTGTATGTAGACTGCACATCCAGCATAGGGACGTTTCCACGTGTGATAAAACCTGATGGGTTCCACCACTGGGCCATATCTAGCACCCAACCATGGCTGTTTATTTGCTTCACTTCCAGGAAGGATTTTCCTGAGGTGTGAGCCACTGACCTCCGTGCACATCTTGGTTTGCTTCTGGAGGGTGAATGATGTCACCCTTTGGGACAGTAGCTATGTGCTTTCTGTAGCTTCCAAACTATTTAGCTTACATTAGGGTTTCCTCTTGGTGGTGCCCATTCTATGGGTTTGGACAAATGTATAATGAGATGGACCCACCATTATTGTGTCCTACAGAATGGTTTCATAGCCCTAAAACCCCCAGTGCTGCCCCTGTTCATCCCTCCTTGGCCCCAAACCCCAGCAACCACTGATCTTTCAGTGTCTCCATAACTTTGCCTTTTCCAGAAGGTCCTAGAGCTCGAAGCTCCTAGAGTGTGCATTGTTGGTGAAACCACTTCCCTCTCCTGATGCAGAACTAGGATGTTGGGGATTCTGTCTACCTGACTTGCTTTTACAGGTAGATGGTTTTGAGCAACGTTTCTCAGAACAAGCAGAGGATGGAAGCTGGAAATGTTTTCTTTTCATAGTATCCTCATGCAACCCACTCTTAATTTGGTCCAGCTTACAGCTTTGGGCTACAGATCTTAAATCATGATGTCTCAGGGGGTCTGTATAAATATTTTTATTTACGTGTACGTATAAATTAAATAACACATTATACATCATATGGTGATACACATATACAGGAAATACACATTATTACATGGTAATACATAATGTGTCTGCAATATTTAAAAATATAAAATATACACTAGCGTATAAAGTAGACATGGTCGTTATGGGCAGCTGGGACAGGCATTTTATCTGTAGATATGTAAAATTTGGGGTTTTGGCCAGAAAAAGCCTATGAGGGGATGCTTCTGACTTTTCTGGGGGAAGGTGGCTGGTTGTAGCTGTCACAAGTGGTTATCGTTGACAGTGTAGGTCTGAGAGTCAACGGTAATTGAAAACCCCTATGAGGTTTCCTTACCCCAAATATGGGTGTAGCTTCTAAATGATATGTTCTGTATATTTAGCTACATAAAGGAAGTGTGTGTGTATATATATTTGGAAATGAACTCAGCAGTTTATGGAATGCTGCCTACTTTTTTCTTCACATTGGCATCCTGTTAGCAGAGAAAACTTTAAGAAAACACGGTGGAGTGAAAGCAGAGAGTGGCGCGATGGCTTCCAGGGGTCTGGGCTGGAGGGGTTTGGAGAGGTGAGGCTTAAGGGACTACCCTGTAACCAGAAGAGGGGTACGTTCTGGCAATCCAATGCACAACATAGCGCTCATAGCCGACAGCGCTCAACGTGGCCCCTAGACCAGATCTTTATGTTTCTTAAAGCAAAAAAAAAAAAAAAAAAAGGAATGGTAAATATGTGACGTCCTGGAGAAATTCGCTGGGAACTGTGTCGTAATCGCAAAGCAGTTTTGGCGTGTCTCAAATGCACAAGCTGTATCCGTCAAACTAATACAAGGTTTGCGGTCAGTGGGACCCCAGTTTTTAAAAAAAAGGGAAAACAGGGTGCCCGGCGTAATGTAGGCTTTGACCGTCTTCCAGGCGGGGACGAGAGTGCACTCCTGCTTCCTGGCTGTTCTCTAGCCCCAGGGCAACACGCCTGCCTTTGCCACTCTGCCTGAGCCCCGTTCTGGAATCTAGCTGAGTTTCCCATCTCCAGGATTCCTCCCACAGCCACTCCCCACACTCTGAGACCTGTAGGAATCTAGGATCGTTCCATTTCCCCAGGCTCCGGATTATGTTTCCAGTTCATTCCGATCTGCATTGCTTTTTGAAATCACCCCAGGGAAGAGGGGGTTGGAAATGTGTCCCTGATGTTTTTGCTTTTCTTTCTTTTCTTTTCTTTTTTTTTTCCTTTTTGCAAAATCGCTTCTGCAGGATTGCCAGAGACTGCCTCTGAGGACACGGTGTGTCCTGCAACACGGCGTGCTTCTGGCGCAGCTGCCCAGCATCCCATGGACAGGCACGGACCACCCTGCCAGGAGCCCCAGGAGAGCCGCTTACCTGAATGGCTGGAGGTTGCAGGTTGGAGGCGAAGGGCTGGTTGCGCACATCAGGGAGCGGCCTCTCCTTGCCGGGCCGGTGGCACTCACAGTCCGTGAGGCCCCAGGGCTGCTGGGTCACTGCACGCATGTGCGTCCGTAACTGATTCACTCTTCAAAGCCACAGCCGGGAGGTGGCAGAAACAAGTTTGGTTGTCCAGAGAGAACGGACGGGGCAGTCGCCGGTGTCCGGGTGCTACTGTAGTCCCCGGTTTCTACAGAAGAACTTCTGTTCTTCATTATACGATGGAACCGAGCCAGAAGGAGCCGGGAGGACTCACGCTGAGAACACTGACTCATTCATGCCCGAGGAGGTGGAAATCTTTCCGACCTTTGTTCAACTCAGAGGGGTATTGGCTGGCTGTGCGCCAAAGTGGGAAAGCCGTTGCCTTCAAAAATGCCTCTTGGACAGTCCTTAAATTTCGTGGCTTCCCTACCTCCCCATCACTGGCCCCTGCCTCAGAAATTTTTAAAAAAGGGGAACAGAACACACCTCTGCTTCTATCATCAAGCACCGTCCTACGCAAATGGCTTGGCCCCTCCCTAGCCCTATAACTCTATTTGGGAACTTCTGGGTTTTAGGCCATATTTGTTTATTTGTTTGTTTTCTGTTCACGAGGGAGCACCTTCCTTCCTCAGGGGGCAAGACGCACGTTTCAGGCAGCACAAGATGCAAACCTGACCCCTTCGAAAGACTTTCCTGAATTAGAGTTTTCTGAAGGCTCCCCAGGGGCAAAATCCTATCCAAGGATCCATCTTCCAAGCCCCTCATGCGTTCGTTTTGTTTTTGTTTTTTTTATTTTTTGCTCTCTGTGGCCCGCGCATGTCCGAGTTGGGATTTGAGGCTCGTGCTTGGTGGATAACTGTCTTAAGAGCTCATGGCTTCAAAAATTCTTTGCAAATTTCAGAAATCAAAGGAAGGCGGGTAGACGCTGTTTCGGTTGGGATTTCCTGTTGCTCCAAGGCAGGTCTGCGGAAGGACGCTGGTGATGAAGGAAGGCAGCTGGCCTCTGGTTGTTTTTTCCCCAGTGTCAGCTAAGAGAAGCCAAGGTCCTGCAGGGTTGGTGGCACACGGAGGTTCTGGACCCAGACATAGAGCTTTTCGCTCCTTCCCCTGGGCGTTGCTGGTTCTTTTGTAGCTGAAGGAACAAATCCCTCAAGTGCTCTGTACACCGCCTGGGTTTAGCGCCTCTCAAGAAACCTACTTTTCCACTGCCCTGAAACCAGGTCACTGCATTTTTGGGTTTTGAGTCATTTGGGGGCTCTGAGGGGACATGAGACTGTGTGTCTATGGGGCGTTTGTGAATTCCTGGAGTTGTATTTTCCAGTCTTCACCAGCAGCCCAGATATCACACAGAGACTGCAGAATTGCCTTAAAGGCAAAACACGATCCCCAAGGAGAAGGGTCTGTTTGCAGAGATTGCTCTGCAGGGGGAGGGCTTGGAAGATCCCAAGATTAGAATGTTCTTGAAGGATGACCTCCTTTCCAAGGCTGAGCTCCTTGCTTGTAGCTCCAGAAATTATGGAGCCCTGGGTGAAGCTGTGTTTTTGCGTGATGACATGCTTGTCTTTTTCACAGTAATTCTCACATCTCTCCTTGTCCTTGCACACTTACCCCCATTTTCATGCACAAAATAGGACTGTAATAAAGGGTACAAGTACATGAGAAAGAGTCCTATGATAGAGGCAATGCTTACATCCATCCATCTATCTATCATGTATCCATCCATCCAACCATCCATCCATCATCCATCCATCAATCCACCTATCATATCTACCATCTATATCTATCGATCTATCTATCTCTCCATCCATTCACCCATGTATCATCTATCCATCCATCCATCCATCCATCTACCCCACCCATCCATCTATCTATCATCTTTCCACCCACCCATCCACCATCTATCTATCCCTCTATCATATATCTATCCAACCATCCATTCATCTATCCATCCATCCATCCATCCATCCACTCATGATCTATCTGTCCATCCATCCATCCATCCATCCATCCAACCATCCAACCATCCAAACATCCAACCATCCAACCATCCAGCCATCCATCCATCCATCCATCCATCCAACCATCTCTCCAACCATCCATCCATCCATCCATCCATCCAACCATCGCTCCAACCATCCATCCATCCACTTATCCATCCATCCGCCCATCCACTTATCAATCCATCCATCCATCCATCCATCCATCCATCCATCCATCCACCTATCCATTTATGTATCAGCTCTCTGTCCATCCATCCCTCATCTCTCTATCCGTCATCTATCTATTGATAGATCTATTGATCTATCATCTATCTATCTTTTCATCCATCTACCTATCATATCTACCCATCTGTCATCTATTGATCAATCCATCCATCCATCTATCGTATCTACCATCTATGTCTATCTATCCAACCATCCATCCATCTGTCCACCCATCTACCATCTATCTGTCTACTCATCTACCCTCTAAGCACTTCTTCTATCATGTACTCTTCTAGGAGTGTGACACTGAATCTTGCATACAGGCTGTCTCCGTGCCATGGTATCTCCACCTACAAATGCAGCTAGTGATGGTCACTCTCCTCAGAGCTGTGCATTGAGGCCTAAAGGTGCAGTATTTATAAGACACACTTAGACCAGAAGACAGAAGCTACTTTTGAAAGTTTGTGATAGAATTTAAAATGCGGAAATGCACCTCGATGTATCCCTACTCTCCCTTTGCTGTTTTGAAAACCTAACTGGAGTCGGTGGAAAATTTTTTTAACCTTTTAATTTTTAAATTATCCTGGCAGAAAACATATTTGAGTTAATTAAGCCCCCTTAATTATATATGTATGTTTGCTGGCAGTTGAGCTCCGATGAAATATCCTTTTGCTAAATAAGTATGTGCCAGCTGCCCTGGAAGGTTATGCTTACCTATAAAGATAATTGACACACTTGAGCAGTGCCCCCACCATGGTACTTAATAAACATTTAATTATTATAATGAGTGCAGTCACTAGGAACTGTGACAGGAGCCTGGACGCACAGGACGAGTGTCCCTAAATGCTGGAGCTGGAGAGACAACTTGTTTCCAGTAAGTAAAATACGTTAAGTTTATGTAATTCAATAGAAAATATGGAAAGTTAATGTAATTCCAGTTCGGTGTGCTTGAATTTTTAATGCTTAGCAAGGTGGAGAATGAAGGGTTGAGGGTAGATTACTTGTAATCTATCTCCCTTGCACTTTCTAGGATTTTATATAAATGGGATCAGGTGGTATCCTATACTGTTTTGTGCGGCTTTTCTCACTCAGCATACTCAATTTGGAGATGCCTCAAGGTTGTTGACTGTATTATGCATAGTGAACTCCTTATGATTGCTGGGTGGTATTCCATTGGATTTGGGACGTCCAGACTTGAGTTATCCATGCACCTGTGAGCAGACACTTGGAAAATGTGGATTTTATGTGTTTAAGGGTATTTATGTTATTCCTAGGAAGACAAGTAAGTGGGCTAATCAAAGGTCATGGAGGTGGGTGACCTTTGCTTGGTAGTAAAATGCCATAAAGTATATACAAGTAAGTTTACTCTAAAATCTCTCTCCCTCCCTTCCTTCCTTCCTTCCTTCCTTCCTTCCTTCCTTCCTTCCTTCCT